TGAGAAATACAGCAAATCTATATATATATATTAAGAGTCAATGTTTGTATGTATGTATGCGGAGGGAGGTGTATGTGGCAGCTTCCTGATTGGCTGCCACTGTGGAACTATTTGCATATGGTCTGTGATTGGCCAACCAGAAACCTCCAAGATTCTGAGGTGACAGAGGAGAGGAAAAGGCCTGAGGCTGTGTCAGAAAATTACCAATACAGACTAAACTTGGCACACAGAGCCCGCAAGATCCACTCTACATCCTACTACAGTTTGGAGTAGGGTGGACCATGGATGATGGGACTTGCAGTACCATCGCTCACTTTCTGAGACCGCTGTTAACCTCATCCAATGACTGATCAGGACCAAACTTGGCACATAGAACTCTCATGACCCACTTTACGTCCTGGTGTGGTTTGGCCGGGGATGGACCATGAATGATGGGACTTGCAGTACCTTCACTCAATTCCTGAGACCACTGCAACCATCATCCAATTTCCGATAAGGACCAAACTTGGAACACCGAATCTCCATGATGCACTCTACATCCTGGTGCGTTTTGGAGGATGATGCACCATGGACGATGGGACTTGCATTACCTTCACTCACTTAGTGAAACGACTGAGACCCTCATCCAATGACTGATGAAGACCAAACTTGGCACACAGAGCCCCCATGGCCAACTCAACATTCTGGTGAGGTTTGGGGGAGAACACACTATGGATGATGGGACTTCAAGTACCTCCGCTCACTTCCCAAGACTGCTGCAACCCTCATCTAATGACCAATCAAGACCAAACTTGGCCCCCATGAGCGACTCTACATTCTGGTGCTGTTTGGAGGAGGACGGACAATGGATGATGGGACTTGCAGTAACTTCACTCACTTCCTGAAACCACAGTGACACTCATCCAAATACCAATAAAGACCAAACTTGGCACAGAGAGCCCCCATGGCCAACTCAACATTCTGGTGATGTCTGAGGGAGACTATGGATGATGGGACCTGCAGTACCTTAACTCACTTTCTGAGACTGCTGCAACCCTCATCTAATGACCGATCAAGACCAAACTTGACACACAGAGCCCCCATGACCTATTCTCTATCCTGGTGCAGTTTGGAGGAGGATGGACCTCAGATGATGGAACTTGCAGTACCTTCACTAACTTCCTGAGACCACTGCGAGCCATATAAATAACTGATAAAGACCAACCTTGCTACACAATCCCTTTCTCAAATAACCCCAAGCTAGTAAATAAATAATAATTAATTTAATAAATCATCTTGTTGGGTATCCAAGAATCATAATAATGGGACAATTAGCAAACCGGAGCCCAATTCCGGCAGCTGAATGGGAGGCCAATCAAGAGAACGACTGGTCAGCAGAGCAACAACAACAACAATAGTAAGAGTCCATAATCAGCAAGTATAAAGGGTATACAGTGATGGTTTCCACAAAATGTAAATATGAGGTCTTTCAATGGGCAACGAGGAGGAAGAAGAGGGGGGAAAGTGGGGTGGGCGGCCATTCAGGCCCCAGACCGCCACTTTGGCGCTTTGTCCCTTTTCAAAAAGCAATCCCCCGCCTTGTAATAAGGCCAAGGCCGCCCCTGCTTTAGAGGTGAGTGCTCATTTCCGAGGCGCCGAAACAGGCCCTAATTGCGGGCCGGCCCGTGCCCAATGTTTAGCGTAAGCGGGGTGCCTCGCAACGGGCGCCCGGGGAAAGGCCCGCCACGGCCGCTAATGCGCCGAGAAAGCACACACCGTTCGCTCATTCGTCGGAAAGAAAGGAAGGAAGGAAGGAAGAGGGCTAAATATAGGGAGGGAGGGAGGCGCTGAATCAGGGCAATTACCTCTCTCCCTCTCTCTCCCGCAATGCCGTCCCGCATTAGAAGGAAGGAAGAGGGGGCCCAAGGGAGGGAAATGGAGGGAGGAAGGAAGGAAGGAGGAGGAAAGAGGGAAGGAAGAGGAAGAGGAGGAGGCAGGGACAGCCACGCTAGGGGCAAGACTCCCCAAAAGGAAGGAAGGAAGGACAGGAAAGAGGGAATGGAAGGACAGAAGGAAGAGGAAGGGAATGAAGGAAAATGGAAGTGGATGGAAAGGTCAGGAGGGAAAGGAAAGAGGGAACGGAAGGGTAGGATGGCAGGAAGGAAGGAGATGGGCAAGAAGGAAGGGAAAGGGAAGGACAGGAAGGAAGGAAATGAAAGAGGGAACGGAAGGAAGGGCAGAAGGGAGGGAGGAAGGGAAAGGGAAGGAAAGGAAGACAGGAAAGAAAGGACAGAAAGAAGGAAGTAAAGGGAAGGGAAAAGGAAGGAGGAAAGAAGGAAGGATAGGAGGATGTATGGAAGGAAGGAAGGGAGGGAGGGAGGGAGGGAGGAAGGGAGGGGAAGGGCAAGAGGAAGGAGGAGGGGAGGGAGGAAGAAGAAGGAAAAGGAGGAGAAAGGAAAGGAAGGAAGGAAAAGGAAGGAAGGAAAGGAAGAAGGAAGGCAGGCAGGCAGGCAGGAAGGAAGGAAGGAAGGGGAAGGAGAAGGAAGAGGAAGGGAAAGAAAGGAAAGAGATAGAAAAGGAAGGAAGGATAGAAGGAAGGAAGAGGAAGGCAAGGGAAGGGAAGGAGCGGAAAAGAACAGAAAGAAAGGAAAGAAAAGAAGGAGGAAGCAAGAAGGAAAGAAGGAAAGGCAGGAAGGACAGAAGGAAGGAAGGAAGGAAGGAAGGGAGGGAGGGAGGGAGGGAGGGAGGGAGGGAGGGAGGAAGGGAGGGGAAGAACAGGAGGAAGGGAGGAGAGATGGGAAGGAAGGAAGGAAGGAAGAGAAGAAGGAAGCAAGAGGAGGGAAGAGAAGAAGGAAAGAAGAAAGGAAGGAGAAGGAAGAAGGAAGGAAGAAGAAAGGAAGGAAGGAAGGAAGGAAGGAAGGAAGGAAGGAAGGAAGGAAGGAAGGAAGGGAAAGAAGGAAAGAAGCTTAGGGGAAGGACAGAACAGGAAGGGAAAGAAAGGAAAGAAGGGCAAGAAGGAATGGAAGGAAAAGGCAGGAAAGGACAGGACTGAAAGAAGGAAGCAAGGGGAAGGGAAGAGCAAGAAGGAAGGAAGGAAAGGAGGAAGGATAAGAAGGAAGGAAGAGGAAGGGAAGGACTGGAAGGAGAGGTAAAACAGCCAAGCAATCGCTAGGCCATCCAAGTGCCATAGTTTGGGAAACCATGTTCAAGAGGCTGCCCTTTGCCCCTTGACTTGAGTAGACTACAACTCCTATCGCTCCAGCGTCTATCGCCACGGGATGGGTCTCTGCTACTTGGAAACAGAGGGGTTTGTGACCCGGGGGATGGGAGGGAGGCTGGAGGTGGGGGGCTGCGGGTGGGTGAGGGTGGGGCCTGACCTGGAGGATCATGCGGTGCTTGAAGTTGGGAGTCTCCAGGTTGCACTTCTCGCAGCGGTAGAGGCCGTTCTGCTCGTCCACCAGCTTCTTGTTGCAGTCCGGGGAGGGGCAGGCCTTGTAGAGGCACTTCTGGTTCCGCAGGTAGACCACCGTCCCCACACAGCTGTAGAAGTCGGCCTGAAGAAATCATTTGCACGGCACAAAAACGCCGTTTGTTAAAACATCATAATAATAATAATAATAATAATAATAATAATAATACATTTTGAGAAAAGGAATATGAAATTGCTCAGTGCAGTACTGGTAACAACAGTAATAATAATAATAATAATAATAATAATAATAATAGGGGAAAGGAGCACGAATCTGCTGCAGTGCTGTATTCCAGGTTAGTAGTAGTAGCAGCAATAATAACATACTGTATATACTCGAGTCTAAACCTAGTTTTTCAGCCCTTTTTTAAGGCTGAAAAAAAGTCCCTCTTGGCTTATATTCAAGTCAAGGTTATTTATTATTTTACACTATTATTATTATTAATAACTTTATCATTTTACTCTATTTATTGTTATTATTACATTTATTATTTTACTCTATTATAGTTATTATTACATGTATTATTTTATTTTTGTTATTATTACATATATTATTTTACTCTATTATTACTGTTATTACATTTCTATTATTTTACTCTATTATTAATATTACATTTATTATTTTACTTTATTTATTATTACATTTATTTTACTCTATTATTACTGTTATTATTACATTTATTATTTTACTGATTATTTATTACTTTACTGATTATTTATTATTATATTATTTTGCTCTATTTATTGTTATTATTACATTTATTATGTTACTCCATTTATTGTTATTATTACACTTATTATTTTACTCTATTTATTATTATTACATTTAATATTTTACTCTAATTATTATTATTACATTTATTTTACTCGAATTATTATTATTATTATTATTATATTTATTATTTTACTCTATTTATTGTTGTTATTGTTTATTATTTTACGCTTATTATTATTACATTTATTTTACTCTACTTATTATTATTATATTTATTATTTTACTCTATTATTACTGTTATTACATTTCTATTATTTTACTCTATATTAATATTTCATTTATTATTTTACTTTATTATTGTTATTACATTTATTATTTTACTCTATTATTACTGTTATTACATTTCCATTATTTTACTCTATTATCATTATTACATTTATTATTTACTCTATTATTACTGTATTTATTATTATTCTCACATTTATTATTTTACTCTATTATTACTGTTATTATTACATTTCCATTATTTTACTCTATTTATTATTATTACATTTATTATTTTACTCTATTATTATTTTTATTATTTTGCTCTATTTATTGTTATGATTACATTTATTATTTTACTCTATTATTATTATATTTATCTATTATTATTTTTATTATTTTGCTCTATTTATTGTTATTATTACATTTCCATTGTTTTACTCTATTATTATCATTATTACATTTATTATTTTACTCTATTATTACCGTTATTATTACATTTCCATTATTTTGCTGTATTTATTATTACGACATTTATTATTTTACTCTATTATTTACTTACTTAATAAATAAATACTCTATAATTGCTTTTATTATTACATTTCCATTATTTTACTCTATTTATTGGCTATTTCGAATTAATTCCCACACTCTAAGCTGCTCTGGGCCTGGGAAAAGCGGGCTATAAATTGAATTAAAAGGCAAGGAGATGGGAACGGGTGAGATCCCGACGCCGCAAGAGAAACAAGGAGGACAGGATATTATTACAGAGTTGACATTTTGGGTTTCTGCTCCACCGCATGCGGCGTTTACGTTGCTTCCAATCGGCCGCGTTTCCCCGTAATCATGGCCCGGGGCAAGTTCAGCCTGCCATTTGGGGCAGAAAGAGGCGCGAATGGGTTTCTCCTTGCGGGGACTCTGCGGACGGAAACACCAAGGATCCCACCTTCCCTGGAGAAAGGCGGTAAGGCACCATCCGATCCCTCCCGACAGAAGGCCATGAAAACCTACCAGAGACGGGAGGACAACCAGGCAGCCTAGAATCATAGCATCACAAGACTTGGGATCCCTAAAACAAGCCCAACCCTCTACGCCATAAAGACACCATCCAAGCCCTCCTGGCAGAGGGCCATTCAGTCAGTCATGGAATCATGAGAGCATAGAATCCGAGAGCCAGGAGGAAGAAACCATGAACACCAATACAGTCTGGTGACCAGCATTTAAAAAACACCAAAATCAGGACAGTAAATAAACAACAACACTCAAAAAAAATAGGGGAATTCCAAACAGGAAACAATCAGGGCCAGCTAACACCTCCCAACAAAGGATTCCCCTCCAGGCAGGAAGCAGCCAGGGTTTGAAGCTGCAAGGTTGTTTAAAGCTAATCAAGCTGGCTAAGAACAATACTAAAAAAAAAATATACGGGAATTCCAGACAGGAAAGAATAAGGGCTGGCTAACACCTCCCAACAAAGGATTCCCCTCCAGGCAGGAAGCGGCCAGGGTTTGAAGCTGCAAGGTTGTTTAAAGCTAATCAAGCTGGCTAAGAACAATACTAAAAAAAAAAGGGGGGGGGGGAAATTCCAGACAGGAAACAATCAGGGCCAGCTAACACCTCCTCCCAACAAAGGATTCCCCCCACAGGAAGGAAGCAGCCAGGGTTTGAAGCTGCAAGGCTGTTTAAAGCTAATCAAGCTGGCTAAGAACAATACTAAAAAAAGGGGGAATTCCAGACAGGAAAGAATCAGGGCCAGCTAACACCTCACAATAATAGATTCCCCTCCAGGCAGGAAGCAGCCAGTCTTTGAAGCTGCAAGGCCATTTAATGCTAATCAAGGTGGCCAAGAACAACAGACACACACAAATTAACAAAGCAGGGGAATTCCAGACAGGAAACAATCAGGGCCAGCTAACACCTCCTCCCAAAAAAGGATTCCCCCAGGAAGCGGCCAGGCTTTGAAGCTGCAAAACCATTTAATGCTAATCATGTTTGCCAAGAACACTAAAAAAAAACTGGGGTATTCCAGACAGGAAAGGATCAGGGCCAGCGAACACGTTCCAACAATGGATTCCCCCCCACAGGAAGGAAGCAGCTAGGCTTTGAAGCTGCAAGGCTATTTAATGCTAATCAAGCTGGCCAAGAACAACACTTAAAAAGGGGGGAATTCCAAACAGGAAAGAATCAGGACTGGCTAACACCTCCCAACAAAAGATTCCTGTCAGACAGGAAGGAACCAGCCAGAGTTTGAAGCTGCAAAACCATTTAATGCTAATCAAGCTGACCCAGAACAACACTAAAACACTAAAAACAAACAAAAACAAACAAAACAGGATAATTCCAGACAGGAAAGAATCAGAGCCAGCTAACACCTCCCAACAAAGGATTCCCCTCCAGGCAGGAAGCAGTGAGGCTTTGAAGGTCATTTAATGCTAACCAAGGTGGCCAAGAGCAGGAATTCCAGACAGGAAAGAATCAGGGACAGCTAACACCTCCCAACAAAGGATTCCCCCCACAGGAAGGAAGAAGCGAGGCTTTGAAGCTGCAAGGTCATTTAATGCTAATCAAGCTGGCCAAGATCAACACTAAAACAAAACAAAAACAGGGGAATTCCAGACAGGAAAGAATCAGGACCAGCTAACACCTCCTCCCAACAAAGTATTCCCCCTCCAGGCAGGAAGCAGCCAGGCTTTGAAGCTGCAAGGCCCGAATACCTTGTCTCCTTGGCCCATGTTCCCGGTCTTGGCCTCCCGCAGGGTCTTCCAGACGGGGGCTGCTCCTCCTCCCCCTCCTCCGCCTCCTCCGAAGTCCCGGCCATTGGAGATGGACGGCGCCTCCAGGAATTTCCCTTCCGAGTCGAACCTGGGAAGAGACGCACGCACACACTGTCCACATTTCCGGGAAGCAGCGCATCGGACGCGGCTCCCTCGCCCTATTTTTAGTGTATTTTTTTTCTCAATGGCGCAGGCAGGAAGCCATTAACGGCGCCCGACTTGTGCACATTACTCACTGAAATAGCTTTCCGGGACGCGGCTAATAACTCCGTTTTAATTAGGGCCGTATTTTAGAGTGCCGGTGGCTTTTCGCGGAAAGAAGGGGCTCCCCATGGGAAGTCGGGTGGACTCGCTTGCAGAATGGCTAGCAAGCACCGACGAGGCAAAGGGAAGCCGACGGGATTTGTTGACGTCTGGCGTTTGGTGGGAAAGCAGAACCCCAACAGACACAAAGTGGGCTCTGGCTCTTAGAAGCCCTCCAAAGGAGATTCCAGTGGAGCATGTTCAACAGTGGAACTCACTGCCTCAGGGTTTTTGCAACAGAGGCTGGGTGGCCATCTGTTGGCGGTGGTTTGGTGGTGCCTTTCCTGCCCGAGAGAAGGGGCTTGGACTGGATCGCCACCTCTAGGAGTCTATTATTATTATTATCATTACTCCTACTACAACTAAGCAGGGGCTGGAAGGCCTTCTGTTGGGAAGGCTCGGATGCTGCCCTTCCTGCCTAGCAGAAGGGGGTTGGACTGGATGGCCCTTGGAGTCTCTCCCAACTCTGTGAGTCTAATAAATAATAATAATAATAATAATAATAATAATAATAATAATAGATACATAATAATAAATAGATGGCCCTTGGGGTCTCTCCCAAATCTGAGAGTCTAATAATAATAATAATAATAGAATTATTATTGGCTAATAGAAGGGGGTTGGACTGGATGGCCCTTGGGGTCTCTCTCAACCCTATGAGTCTAATAATAATATTAATAATAATAATAAATAGATAATTACAAATAATAATATAATAGTAATTCTATCTTCCCATCTAGCAGAAGGGGGTTGGACCGGATGACCCTTGGGGTCTCTCCCAACCCTATGAGTCTTCCCGTCTGTCAGAAGGGGTTGGAGTGGATGGCTCTTGAGTTGGATAATAATAATAATAATAATAATAATAATAATAATAATAATAATAGATAATTACACACAATAATATAATAGTAATTCTATCCTCCTGTCTACCAGAAAGGGGGGTGGACTGGATGGCCCTTGGGGTCTCTCCCAACCCTATGAGTCTATTATTATTATTATTATTATTATTAATAATGTTGTTGTTCATTCGTTCAGTCGTCTCCGACTCTTCATGACCTCATGTACCAGCCCACCCTGTCGGCCGTCACCACCTCCAGCTCCTTCAAGGTCAATCCAGTCACTTCAAGGATGCCATCCATCCATCTTGCCCTTGGTCGGCCCCTCTTCCTTTTGCCTTCCACTTTCCCCAGCATAATTGTCTTCTCTAGGGTTTCCTGTCTCCTCATGATGTGGCCAAAGTACTTCAACTTTGTCTCTAGTATCTTTCCCTCCAGTGAGCAGTCGGGCTTTATTTCCTGGAGGATGGACTGGTTGGATCTTCTCGCAGTCCAAGGCACTCTCAGCACTTTCCTCCAACACCACAGTTCAAAAGCATCGATCTTCCTTCGCTCAGCCTTCCCTAAGGTCCAGCTCTCACATCCGTAGGTGACTACAGGGAATACCATGGCTTTGACTAGGCAATGGATCTTGGTTGCCAGTCTGATGTCTCTACTCTTCACTATTTTATCGAGACTGGACATTGCTCTCCTCCCAAGAAGTAAGCGTCTTCTGATTTCCTGGCTACAGTCTGCATCTGCAGTAATCTTTGCACCTAGAAATACAAAGTCTGTCACGGCCTCCACGGTTTCTCCCTCTATTTTCCAGTTGTCAATCATTCTTGTTGCCATAATCTTGGTTTTTTTGACGTTTAGCTGCAACTACAAATAATAATATAATAGTAATTCTATCTTCCCATCTAGCAGAAGGGGGTTGGACCGGATGACCCTTGGGGTCTCTCCCAACCCTATGAGTCTTCCCGTCTGTCAGAAGGGGTTGGAGTGGATGGCTCTTGAGTTGGATAATAATAATAATAATAATAATAATAATAATAATAGATAATTACACACAATAATATAATAGTAATTCTATCCTCCTGTCTACCAGAAAGGGGGGTGGACTGGATGGCCCTTGGGGTCTCTCCCAACCCTATGAGTCTATTATTATTATTATTATTATTATTATTATTATTATTATTAATAATAATAATAATAATAACAAATAGATAATTACAAATAATAATATAATAGTAATTCTATCTTCCTGTCCTGGCAGAAGACGGTTGGACTGGATGACCTCTGGGGGTCCCTTCCAACTCTAGGAGTCTAATAATAATAATAATAATAATAATAATAATAATAATAATAATAATATAATCATAATAAATAATAATAATAATAATAATAATAATAATAACAACAACAACAACAACAACATAATTCTATCTTCCCATCTGGCAGAAGGGGGTTGGAGTGGATGGCCCTTGAGTTGGATGATAATAATAATAATAATAATAATAATAATAATAATAATAATAATAATAGATAATTACACACAATAATATAATAGTAATTCTATCCTCCTGTCTACCAGAAAGGGGGTTGGACTGGATGGCCCTTGGGGTCTCTCCCAACCCTATGAGTCTAATAATAATAATAATAATAATAATAATAATAATAATATAATTCTATCTTCCCGTCTGGCAGAAGGGGGTTGGAGTGGATGGCTCTTGAGTTGGATGATAATGATAATAATAATAATAATAATCTCTAATAATAATAATAGATAATTACAAATAATACAATAGTAATTCTATCTCCTTGACTGAGAGAAGGGGGTTGGACTGGATGGCCTTTAATGTTCCTCCTTGCGCTCCCTTCCCTCCCAGCCCCATAGGTAGGCATGGCCTCGTTTGGATGCTCCTTGCTAGGAGCGGAGGAGCCCAGCAAGGCTCTGGGCGAACAGGCGGAGGAGGAGGAGGATTAGGAGAGGAATTGGGGGGGGGGGGGGGGGTGTGCGCATCCACTGCCGCCTCCTCCTCCTCCTCCTCCTCTCCCGCCTCAGCCTTGAGGATGCCAGGAGCACTTAAGAGGAACAATGCGCCTCTGCTGCCGCCGGCGTGTGCGCAGCAGCAGCAGCATTAGAGTGCCTCCCTCGCTAATGGGTTCTTGCCACCACCGCGTGATGTGACGAGGAGGAGGAGGAGAAGCAACCCTTTCCAAAAGTGGGGCGGGTCAAGGACTCTCCCCACTTTTGGGGACCCGTCATCACGACAGAGAGCTAATTTGGGAACGGAAGGGCCTTACCATCCGCGCAGCTTGAATGCCTCGGGGCGGTCCGGGTTGACCACCAGCGTGCTGGACGAGAGGACCGAGAGGCTCCGGCCCCCAAAGTCCGAGACCCGGGCCCCCTTGATGGCCACCACCGGCTGGCGGGAGCCGTCGAACTTATCCGCCTGGAGGGGGAGAAAGGGAAGGTCAAGGGGGTCACTCCTTGCAAGGAGAGGGGTCGAATTGGGGGGTCGTCTCGCTTGCGTGGCCTACTCACCTCCGTCCCCCAAAGCGCGACGGTCACCGTCTTGCCCGAAGCGTCCACCAAGTGCACGTCCCTCTTGGACACCTCCCGGTTGGACTTCATGGTGAGCTTAATGGCGTCCTCGTAGGTCTTGCAGACCCCAATGACGTCTGGAAAAAGGAGAGAGAGAGGAAAGGGTCAGCGGTTGGGTGGCCCTCTGTCGGGAGGGATCCGACTGTGTCCCAAACAATTACCAATGCATCCAGAGGAACTGTGACCTCCTCAACGGACTTCTCCCCATGACCAACTGAACACACTGTAGGGGCTTTGTGGGGATGGACATTGATTTTGGGAGTTGTAGTTCACACCTGCATCCAGCAATACTGTGACCCCCACCGACAATGGACCTGGACCACACTTGGCAGAGAAGCCCCATGACCAATTGAACACACTTAGGGGGTTTGTGCTAATGGGCCTTGATTTTGGGAGTTGTAGTTCACCTGCATCCAGAGACACCATGACCCCCACTGAACCGGGATCACACTTGCCATAGAGAAGCCCCATGACCAATCGAACACACTGTAGAGGGTTTGTGGGAATGGATCTTAATTTTGGGAGTTATAGTTCACCTGCATCCAGCGATACTATGACCCCCACCGACAATGAACCGGGATCACACTTGGTACAGAGAAGCTCCATGACCAATTGAACACACTGTAGAGGGTTTGGGGGAATGGACCTTGATTTTGGGAGCTGTAGTTCATCTGCATCCAGCGATACTGTGACTCCCACCGACAATGGTCCAGGACCACACTTGGCACAGAAAAGCCCCATGACCAACTGAACACACTGTAGGGGAGTTGTGGGAAAGGACCTTGATTTTGGGAGTTGTAGTTCACCTGCATCCAGTTATACTATGACCTCCACCAACAATGGACCGGGATCACACTTGGCACAGAGAAGCCCCATAACCAATTGAACACACTTAGGGTGTTTGTGGGAATGGACCTTAATTTTGGGAGTTGTAGTTCACTTGCATCCAGCAATACTACACCCCCCCCCCCCCCCACCTACAATGGTCTGGGACCACACTTGCCACAGAAACGGCCCATGACCAACTGAACACACTGTAGGGAATTTGTGGAGATGGACCTTGATTTTGGGAGTTGTAGTTCACCTGCATCCAGCAATACTATGACCCCCACTGACAATGAACCGGGATCACACTTGGCACAGAGAAGCCCAATGGTCAATTGAACGCACTGTAGGGGGGTTGTGCAAATGGCCCTTGATTTTGGGAGTTGTAGTTCCCCGTTACTCAGAAAGCACTGCTCCCAGCCGACAATGGATCTGGGCCAAACTTGGCACACAGACCCAACATGGCCAACTGTGCATACAAGCCTGGCTTTGGGGGTGAACAACGTTGAACAACCTGGGAGTTGTAGTTCACCCGCCTCAAGAGAACCCTGAAAGGCAGACTCACCCACGATGGCGTCCTTGGCGGTGGTCTCCAGGTCGGCGATGGAGACGAAGTCGAACTGGACGGAGGGCAGGTGCTGGGCGTCTTCGCAAGGGATGACGGAGGTGTCGTGGGCGAAGGAGATCTCGTAGTCGTTCTTCACGGCCGTGTACTGCTTGTTGGCCACCTTCAGGTACCCCTTGGAGAAGTAGTACACCTGGACGGAGGGAACCACGTCCACACGGTTGTCCACGTCGCCATCACGCCTGCCCTCCCGCCCCGCCTACGCCCACCCCGCACACCTTGTTCAGCTCAATGAGAGGATAGTACTTGTCCACTTCGTTGTTGAACGCCGTGGCTCGGATCTCGCCCTGAAGGAAGGAAAAGACAGACAGAATCTAAGCAGATGACCATCTGTTGGGAGGGATTGAATGGTGTCTTCCTAAATGGTATAAATTCTCTCCGAATTCTAGGCTTCTATGCTAAGTGTTTATTAGCAGAGGCTAGATGTATTGTCGAAGGCTTTCATGGCCGGAATCACAGGGTTGCTGCGAGTTTTCCGGACTGCCTGGCTATGTTTCCAGTAGCATTCTCTCCTGACGTTTTGCCCACATCTATGGCAGGCATCCTCATAGGTAGAGGGTCTTTTGGAAGCTAGGCAAGTGAGGTTTATATATCTATGGAATGATTTTTGCTTGAGGCAGGTATGGATGTTGCCATTGGCCAGCTTGATTAGCATTGAATGGCCTTGCAGCTTCAAAGCCTGGCTGCTTCCTGCCTGGGGGGAATCCTTTGTTGGGAGGTAGGAGAAAGAACTCTTGCCTGTTGAAGGCAGCTATGAATATTGCTATTGGCCAGCTTGATTAGCACTGAATGGCCTTGCAGCTTCAAAGCATGGCTGCTTCCTGCCTGGGAGAGGGAATCCTTTGTTGGGAGGTAGGAGAAAGAACTCTTGTCTGCTTGAGGCAAGTGTGAATGTTGCCATTGGCCAGCTTGATTAGCATTGAATGGCCTTGCAGCTTCAAAGCCTGGCTGGGGAATCCTTTGTTGGGAGGTAGGAGAAAGAACACCTGCCTGCTTGAGGCAGGTATGAATGTTGCCATTGGCCAGCTTGATCAGCATTGAATGGCCTTGCAGCTTCAAAGCCTGGCTGCCTCCTGCCCGAGGGGAGGGGGAATCCTTTGTTGGGAGCTAGGAGAAAGCACTCTTGTCTGCTTGAGACAAGTGTGAATGTTGCCACTGGCCAGCTTGATCAGCATTGAATGGCCTTGCAGCTTCAAAGTCTGGCTGCTTCCTGCCTGGGGGGGAATCCTTTGCTGGGAGGTAGGAGAAAGAACTCTTGCCTGTTGGAGGCAAGTGTGAATGTTGCAGTTGGCCATCCTAATTAGCGTTGAATAGCCTTGCAGCTTCAAAGCCTGGCTGCTTCCTGCCTGAGGGGGAATCCTTTGTTGGGAGGTGGAGAAAGAACACTTGTCTGCTTGAGGGAAGTGTGAATGTTGCCATTGGCTAGCTTGATCAGCATTGAATGGCCTTGCAGCTTCAAAGCCTGGCTGCTTCCTGCCTGGGGAGAATCCTTTCTTGGGAGGTAGGAGAAAGAACACTTGTCTGCTTGAGGGAAGTGTGAATGTTGCCATTGGCTAGCTTGATCAGCACTGAATGACCTTGCAGCTTCAAAGCCTGGCTGCTTCCTGCCTGGAGGAAATCCTTTGTTGGGAGGTAGGAGAAAGAACACCTGTCTGCTTGAGGCAAGTGTGAATGTAATGTTCGTTTGTGGGATTATCATAACTCAAAAACCACTGAATTGGGAATTGACACCAAATTTGGACACAAGACACCTAACAACCCAATGTATGTCCTTCACTCAAAAAAAATATTGATTTTGTCATTTGGGAGTTGTAGTTGCTGGGATTTATAGTTCACCTACAATCAAAGAGCATTCTGAAACCCACCAACGATGGAATTGAACCAAACTTAGCACACAGTTCTCTCATGACCAACAGAAAATACTGGAAGGGTTTGGTGGGCAGTGTCCCTTGAGTTTGGAAGTTGTAGTTCACCTACATCCAGAGAGCACTGTGAACTCAAACAATGATGGATCTGAACCAAACTCGACACGAATACTCAATATGCCCAAGTGTGAAGAAGGAGGGGGAGGAGGTAAGGTTGGGGTATGGGCGTTTAGGGGTGGGGCGGGGGAGGGTGGGGCGTGGCGTGAACGTGGGGGGCGTGGGGGCGTGGTGTGAACGTGGGGGCATGGGGTAAGGTTGGGTATGGGCGTTTAGGGGCGGGGCGGGGAAGGGTGGTGGCGTGGCGTGAACGTGGGGGGCGTGGCCGGGGGAAGGAGGGGGAGGAGGTAAGGTTGGGGTATGGGCGTTTAGGGGCGGGGCGGGGGAGGGTGGTGGCGTGGCGTGAACGTGGGGGGCGTGGCCGGGGGAAGGAGGGGGAGGAGGTAAGGTTGGGGTATGGGCGTTTAGGGGCGGGGCGGGGAAGGGTGGTGGCGTGGCGTGAACGTGGGGGGCGTGGCCGGGGGAAGGAGGGGGAGGAGGTAAGGTTGGGGTATGGGCGTTTAGGGGCGGGGCGGGGGAGGGTGGGGGCGTGGTGTGAACGTGGGGGGCGTGGCCGGGGAAGAAGGAGGGGGAGGAGGTAAGGTTGGGGTATGGGCATTTAGGGGTGGGGCGGGGAAGGGTGGTGGCGTGGCGTGAACGTGGGGGGCGTGGCCGGGGGAAGGAGGGGGAGGAGGTAAGGTTGGGGTATGGGCGTTTAGGGGTGGGGCGGGGAAGGGTGGTGGCGTGGCGTGAACGTGGGGGGCGTGGCCGGGGGAAGGAGGGGGAGGAGGTAAGGTTGGGGTATGGGCGTTTAGGGGCGGGGCGGGGGAGGGTGGGGGCGTGGTGTGAACGTGGGGGGCGTGGCCGGGGGAAGAAGAAGGAGGGTGCGTTGGAAAGAGGGCGTATGGGAGGGTAGGGGCGGGGCGACGGAGGATGGGGGCGTGGCTTGCACGGAGGGTGCATTGGCCTGCCGGCCATGTACGCACGCCGGGGACTTGCAGCGGGGCGCCTTTGCGCATGCTCAGTTGTTTTGTCTAATTGTGAGTGTTTTTAATGATGTTTAGAATTTTGAATCGATTTGTGCATACCTTGTGGGTTGAGGTATGTGCATGGTAAATTTGGTAAGTTTTCGTCGGGGTTTTTTTGCGTTTTGGACTTGCAGCGGGGCGCCTTTGCGCATGCTCAGTTGTTTTGTCTAATTGTGAGTGTTTTTAATGATGTTTAGAATTTTGAATCGATTTGTGCATACCTTGTGGGTTGAGGTATGTGCATGGTAAATTTGGTAACTTTTCGTCGGGGGGTTTTCACGTTTTGCTGTCCCGTTGAACGCCCTTTCTCTTTTTATATATATAGATATAATACTTTGTGCTATGCTAACAATATAATGTGTTGTGTGTATATATATATATATACACACACACACACATACATACATACATACAACACATTATATTATTAGCATAGTACAAAGTATTATATCTATATATATAAAAAGAGAAAGGGCGTTCAAATGCCATTAATAATAATAATAATAATAATAATAATAATAATAATAATAATAATTTGTGCAAATATTTCCAAAGTGCGGCCCCCTCTGAACATCCGATCAGAAGGGAAGGAGGTTCAATTGGTTGTGAAACTCTCCTTGGGGGGTCCGGTGCCCGAATTGCCTCGCATTTTGCCACCCAACGGGATGCCGGCCTCTTCCTTGGCAACGGAGCGCTGGTGCCGTTGGTGTGTTTTGACAGGCCCTTCCCAAAGGGATTATAATTAAGGCACCACCGGCGGAGGAGGAAACGACGACAACGTTTTCTGGCAAGAGGACTTGGAATGAAAGCTGTCAATCATGCCGCGAAGGCGAGGGAGACCCCCGCAGAAGCCCACGGCGTCGTCACAAATAGGTCTGAAGCCCCGCTCCATATTGCAAAGGGCAGTGCTTTGATGGAGAGCCAAAACCCAAAGCGGAGGGTCTGACTAATCCAGCTGGAGGAAGGCCTCCTCCTCCTCTTCCTCCTTCGGTTACATAGGACTTTTCTAATTAAAGAGGAGTTCCTGTTTGGAGGCGCAAAGCCCTTCCACGAAGTTCCCTTCCGCCTCCTTCTCGCCACGCCAAATCTTTCCAGGAAAGACTAAAAGGGTCCCGAGATGACACAGAACGGGGACCACCAGTCACATTGTGCAATATCTAGAAAAGTGCCAAGTTTGGTTCAATTCCATCGTTGGTGGAGTTTGGAATGCTCTCAGATTGTAGGTGAACTATAAATCCCAGCAACTATAACTCCCAAATATCGAGGTCTATTTCCCCCAAACTCCACCAGTGTTTACATTTGGGCATATTGAGTATCTGTGCCAAGTTTGGTCCAGATCCATCATTGTTTGGGTCCACAGTGCTCTCTGGATGGAGGTGAACTACAACTCCCAAACTCAAGGTCAATGCCCACCAAACCCTTCCAGTGTTTTCTGTTCGTCGTGAGAGTTCTGTGCGCCAAACTTGGCTCAATTCTATCACTGGTAAAGTTCAGAATGCTCTCAGATTGTAGGTGAACTAGAAATCCCAGCAACTACAACTCCCAAATGTCAAGGTCTATATCCCCCAAACTCCACCAGTGTTCACATTTGGGCATATTGAGTATTCATACCAAGTTTGGTCCAGGTCCATCATTAAACAATCCACAGTGCTCGCTGGATGTAGGAAAACTACAACTCCCAAACTCAAGGTCAATGCCCACTAAACCCTTCCAGTGTTTTCTGTTCGTCGTGGGAGTTCCGTGTCAAGTTTGGCCCAATTCCATCGTTGGTGAAGTTGAGAATGCTCTTTGATTGTAGGTGAACTATAAATCCCAGCAACTACAACTCCCAAATGCCAAGGTCTGTTTTCCCCAAACTCCACCAGTGTTTACATTTTGGCATACTGAGTATTCGTGCCAAATTTGGTCCAGATACATCATTGTTTGAGTCCACAGTGCTCTCTGGATGTAGGTGAACTACAACTCCACCAAACCCTCTTTGCCATCGCATCCCTTCCCCTCCACTTACGCTCTCGTCGACCAACTCTATGGAGAAGAGCTTCCCTTCCCCACGGGAGTTGCTCCACGTCCGGATCTGGCCCTTCTGCGTCACCCGGGCACAGATGGTCCACCTGGGAAAGACACGAGGACAGCTTGCTTTAAAAGGGAAGGACTCCCCCCCCCCCCCCCCCAAGGATCTGGTTTGGGGACGATGGGAGGTGCAGTCCAGCATGCAGGCAGGCCCCACGTTACAAACAAGGCCCGTTCTGGAGGGTTGCTCTTAAGTTGAATTTGTATGTAAGTCGGAACAAGGACATTTTTCAAATGTAACTCCAGCCTTTCTGTCCATCTTTCTATCTATCTTTCATCCATCCATCCATCTGCCTATCTCCTCCCCTCTCTCTATCTTCCTTCCATCCATCCATCCATCCGCCTATCTATCTATCTATCTATCTATCCATCTATCTATCTATCTATCTATCCATCCATCCATCCATCCATCCATCCATCCATCCATCCATCCATGTATCTATCTATCCATCCATCCATCCATCCATCCATCCATCCATCCATCCATCTATCTTATCTATCCATCCATCCATCCATCCATCCATCCATCCATCCATCTATCTATCTATCTATCTATCTATCTATCTATCTATCTATCTATCTATCCTATCTATCTCTGTATCTCCCTAGTATAACTATCTATCTAGCCATCTATTTTCCATCCATCAATCTGCCTATCTCCTCTAACTATCCATCCATCCATCCATCTGCCCATCTCCTCTATCCATCTATCTCCTCTATCCATCCATCCTTCCGCCTATCTCCTCTATACATCTATCCATCCATCATCCATCCATCCACCTATCTCCTCTATCCATCCATCCGTCTATCTCCTTTATCCATCCATCATCCATCCATCTGCCTATCTCCTCTATCCATCCATCATCCATCCATCCATCTGCCTATCTCCTATATCCATCCATCCATCCATCCATTCATTTCATCTATATGTTAAATATTAAACATCTTTTTGCAAGACAAAACAAATCCAATTAATCATTTTTCTCCTTTGTCTGACTTGTCTTTCTTCAACCAATCATCTATCTATCTATCTATCTATCTATCTATCTATCTATCTATCTATCAATCATCCATCCATCCATCTATCCATCCGCCTACCTCCTCTATCAATCCATCCACCTGCCTATCTTCTCTATCTATCTATTTATCTATCCATCCATCCATCCATCATTCATTGATCTATCTATCTATCTATCTATCTATCTATCTATCTATCTATCTATCCATCCATCCATCCATCCATCCATCCATCCATCTCTCTGAGTATGTATAATGCATGTGTGTGTGTCTAGATACACATATATGTCTAGGAAAGGCTGAACACCCCTTGTGGTGTTTGTTTTCCTTCTCTGTGTTGCTGCTCAAAACTCTTCCCCACTTTCGGTCCTGGTGAGAATTTGGGAAACGTGGCTTGTTGTGGAAACCATCCATCCATCCGCCTATCTCCTCTATCTATCTATCTATTATCAATCTATCTATCTTCCATCCATCCATCCATCCATCCATCCATCCATCCATCCATCCAGGACTGGAGAGAAAGCTCCTTTCCCCCATGAGGAGAACTCTTCCAGGAGTGGACTTCCCTTCCGAGAGGGAGACGGAGCTCACTTCCTGTTGTCTCCCCTCCGTTCTTAACTAGGAGTTGTTTGCCAGTGGGATGTTTGTAACTCGGGGACTGCCTGTATGTCCAAAGGGGGTCAAGAGAGGAGGGTCATGCGTAAGGGGACGGCACCGGCAAGCCACTTACTTGGACTGGTAGGGGTTCAAGCTGGCAATGGGCACCACTTTGGCCTGGGAGCCCCCCGGCGTGGTCGGGAACTGGGATGCGGGCCCCTTGCTGGGCATCTTGGCGGGAGGAGGGCCCCTGTTCTCCTCCTCCACCGCTGACGCTGCCGACGCTGCTGCCCCTGAAAAAGAGGCGCCTGGCATTCAGCAAAGAACCATAGGATCCTAGAGTCAGAAGGGACCCCCAAAGGCCAACCAGCCCAACCCCATTCCGCCATAAAAAAAAACACCATCCAATCTCTCATGACAGATGGACATCCAGCCTCATAGGCATGAGCAGTTTCATGGAGAAATAGAATACACATGAGCAGTTTCATGGAGATGTAGAATGCACAATTCTAGAGTTGGAGGAGACCCGCAAAGGCCATCCCGTCCAGCCCCATTTTGCTATAGACAGGCACCATTCGATCCCTCCTGACAGATGGACATCCAGCCTCATAGACACTTGCAGTTTCATGGAGAAATAGAATACACATGAGCAGTTTCATGGGGATGTAGAATACACCATTCTAGAGTCGGAAGAGACCCCCAAAGGCCATCCCGTCCAGCCTCATTCTAACATAAACGAAAAACACCACCCAATCCCTCCTGACAGATGGACATCCAGCCTCTTAGACACTTGCAGTTTCATGGAGAAATAGAATATACAATTCTAGAGTTAGAAGGGACCCCCAAAGGCCACCCAGTCCAGCCCATTCTGCCATGAAGAAAAAACACCATCCGATCCCTCCTGACAGATGGACATCCAACCTCATAGACACTTGCAGTTTCATGGAGAAATAGAATACACATGAGCAGTTTCATGGAGATGTAGAATACTCAATTCTAGAGTTGGAAGAGACCCCCAAAGGCCATCCAGTCCAGCCTCCTTCTAACATAAACAAAAACACCATCCGATCCCTCATGACAGATGGACATCCAGCCTCATCAACAGTAGCAAAGACCTACAGAACCCTAGAGTTGGAAGAGGCCCCCAAAGACCATCCAGTCCAACCTCATTTTGCCATAAAGATGGACACCATTTTATTCCTCCTGACAGATGGCCATCCAGCCTCATAGATAATAACAGAAGCAAGGCTATAGGCATAGAATCACAGAGTTGTGAGGGACCCCCAAAGGCCATCCCATCTAACCCCTGTCGTCGAGGAAGGACACCACCCGATCCTTCCTGACAGAGGGCCATCCAGCCTCATAGATAATAGCAGAAGTGAGGCTATAGTCAAAGAATTACAGCGATGTGAGGGACACCCAGAGGCCATCCTGTCCAACCCGTCGGCCAGGAAGGACACCATTCGATCCCTCCTGACAGATGGCCATCCAGCCTCATAGATAATAGCAGAAGCAAGGCTATAAGCATAGAATCACAGAGATGTGAGGGACTCTCCAAAGGCCATCTCGTCCAACCTCTTTCATCCAGGAGGGACACCACCTGATCCCTCCTGCCAGATGGCCACCCAGCCTCAGAGAGGTTTGCAGGTTAAGAGGGTTAAGAGGCCATCCAGTCCAACCCTCGTCGTGATCTAAAAGTGAGTAGAAAACCAGGCTTTGCATCCCGACCCAAAAACGGGATGTGGCCTTGGGCCCAGAGTCACACTCTCTCAGCCTCAAACCCCTTCCGAACCATCCTTGCCAAGGAAGCCATGCAAAATCAGAGCCACGGCAACCAGCGCCACGCAACCGCGAGGGCTGTCCTGACGGATGTCTTTTGACGACGAGGCGCTACATCACGATTAAAAGTTTATGCCCTTAGCCTCGTTTGCAGGCGGCTCAATTATGTGCGTTGCTATTCTCGGGCGGCGCATTCATTCCCACTGACGCTGAATAATTGACGCCGCGAAGCAGTCGGCTCCGCGGCCGTGAAAGAATAAGGCTCTAATAGGAAATCAACACGCAAACACATGCAAAGAGGAGCCACCCGCCACCCATGTGGGGCGACTTCTCCCCTCGTTTGGGTCAACGATGACCGGGGGGCGCAAGTGCCATCAGCGTTCGTGGAGCTCTGCCGGGACCTGACAGGGCCCGAATATTGCCGTGCGTTCCAATGGCAGGCTCCCTTTCAAGTTGCCTCTCCAGCCCGTGTCACGCAACCCCTCGGCCTCGGAAGCCCCCCCCCAAAACACCCAAAGGCCTTTTCATTAGAGACCCCTCCCTAGTAACGAGTCAGGATCCAAACGAAGCCCATGCGGAGAAATAGAGGTGACAGTCAAGCCCTACAGACATGCATTTGCATAATATTCTGGAGTTGGAAGGCAGGAAGATAGAATTACTATTATATTATCATCCATTATTATTATTATTATTAGAGTCACAGAGTTGGGAGAGACCATCCAGTCCATCCCCTTTCTGCCAGACAAGAAAACAGAATTACTATTATATAATAATAATAATAATAATTATTATTATTAATTAGTCACTATATTTTATTATAATACACATTAAAATTTATTATTATTATTATTATTATTTAGAATCACTATATTTTATTATAATACAAATGAAAATATATTATTATTATTATTATTATTATTAGAGTCACAGATGTGGGAGAGACCCCAAGGACCATCCAGTCCAACCCCTTTCTGCCAGACAAGAAAACAGAATTACAATTATATTGTATAATAATAATAATAATATTGTTATTGTTATTTATTGCTATTATTAGAGTCACAGAGTTGGGAGAGGCCTAAAGGACCATCCAGTCCAACCCCTTTCTGCCAGGCAAGAAAACAGAGTTACTATTATACATTATATTATTATATATTATTATTATATATATTACTATATATTATTATTATTATTATTATTATTATTATTATTTATTGTTATTAGAGTCACAGAGTTGGGAGAGACTCCTAGACCCATCCAGTCCAACCCCTTTCTGACAGGCAAGAAAACAGAATTACTATTATATATTATAGTCTATTACTATTGCTATTATTATTTATTGTTATTAGACTCACAGGCAACAAAACAGAATTACTATATAATAATAATAATAATAACATTTATTATTATTATTATTATTATTATTATTATTATTATTATTATTATTATTATTATAGTCACAGAGTTGGGAGAGATCCCAAGGACCATCCAGTCCATCCCCTTTCTGCCAGGCAAGAAAAAAGAATTACAATTATATTATATATTATTATTATTATTTATTGTTATTATTAGAGACAGAGTTTGGAGAGACCCCAAGGACCATCCAGTCCAATCCCTTCCTGCCAGGCAGGAAAATAGTATTACTGTTATATTATATTATTATTATCTATTATCTATTATTATTATTAGACTTGCAGTGTTGGAAGAGATGCCAAGGACCCTGGAGCAAGGCAAGACCGAAAACCAGGGTATTGTTTTCATAAGTAAAGTTCGACGGCTTTTTCTTCCTAAAGGCTTTTGGGAAAGATTCCAAAGAGGTTTTTCGACCGTTTTTAATTTTACTGTTTTTTAAACGGCTCTTGATCACATTAACTGCTTTTCAACAGTGCCCTTTAAATTAAATTGCTTTTAATGTTTCAGGCAGTTAATTCCATGTTAATGTTGTCCTTTCGACTGTATCGTATTTACTCGCAAGCCACTCTTAAGGATAGGGAGAGCTATAAACGCGGCTAATAATTAATATTCATAGTAATCAAATGGGGAAAAAATATGGAATATGCCTATGTCTGTAAGAATTAAATACAATTATTAGAAAATAATATGGAGATAATAATAATAATTTTTGAAAGAGTAGAAATATTAGCACAGCTAACAATTAATATTCATTGTAATAAATTGAAAAAATTATGGAATATGCCTATGTCTGTAAGAATTAAAGAAAATTATTAGAAAATAATATGGAGATAATAAGAATAATAATCTTTATTATGAAAGATTAGAAATCTTAGCTAAGCTTCAGAAAATCCTGCCGATCAAAAGGTTGGCAGTTCAAGCCTGGGTCGGGGTGAGCACTCGACATCAGCCCCAGCTTCTGCTCACCTAGCAGATCGAAAATTGAAATGTGAGTAGATAAATAGGTACTGATTTAAGCAGGGAGGGAATAAAAGAGGCCCAAAAGGACATACTGGCAATCTGATCAGGACGTCTACGGATGGCAAGATGAGTCGAGCACAGCCCCCAGATGCCAGAGATGATAATAATAATAATAATAATAATAATAATGGAAAAAGATGGGAATCCTTTACCTCTGTTTATGTATTGTGTCATTGTTAATTGTATAATAGCATTGAATGTTTGCCATACAGGTGTACTGTAATCCACCCTGAGCCCCCTCAGGGAGACAGAACGGAATATAAATAAAGCATATATTATTATTATTATTATTATTAATAATAATAATAACAATAATAATAATAATAATTAGATAAACAAAATTAGTACACGACAAACAAGATCACTATGCTGGCTGTTGTATTGGATATACACAGACTGGGCCACAGCAACGCGTGGCAGGGGACAGCTAGTAATAAATAAATACATCTATATACCCGTATATATTCAAATATAAGCCGAGGCACCCAATTTTACCACACAAAAAAACCTGGGAAAATGGATTGACTCGACTGCATAATTTGTGACTTGAATATAAGCCGAGGGTGGGAAATGCAGCAGCTACTGGTAAATTTCAAAATAAAAATAGATACCAATAAAATTATATTAATTTAGGCATCAGTAGGTTAAATGTTTTTGAATATTTACATAAAACTGTAATTCAAGATAAGACTGTCCAACTCTGATTAAACCATTATTCTAACCTTCTTCAATGTAAATATGCTTACATATCCTTCCAATAATAATAAATAGAGTAAAAGAATAATAATAATAATAATAATAATAATACAGTAAAATAATGGAGTGAAAGAATAACAGTAATAATAGAGTAAAATAATAAATGTAATAATTACAATACAGTAAAATAATAAATGTAACAATAACAATAATAAATAGAGTAACATAATACATGTAATAATAACAATAATAAAATAATAAATGTAATAATAATAACAACAAAGTAAAATAATAAATAACCTTGACTCGAGTATAAGCCGGGGGAAACTTTTTCCGCCTGAAAAAAGGACTGAAAAACTAGGTTTATACTCGAGCATATGCAGTAAATAAAAACATGATGTTCGTTTGTGGGATTAACATAACTCAAAAACCACTGGGCGAATTGACACCAAATTTGGACACAAGACACCTCTCAGGCCAATGAGTGACCATCACTCATAAACACACTAAAAAACACAGTGGAAGAGACTTAAAAAGCCAAAAAAAAATACATTACATTGCAATGTATGCACATAACCACTTAAATACACATATACACAAATATATATAGACACACAACACACATATACACAGACTGGGCCACAGCAACTCGTGGCAGGGGACGGCTAGTATAATATATTGAATGTATATTTATCTTGTAAGCCGCTCTGAGTCCCCTTTGGGTGAGGAGGGTGGCATAGAAATGTCGTAAATAAATAATAATAATAATAATAATAAAATCCAACTAAATTTTTAAAAAAGTAATGACAGCAATGATAGAAATGATACTCCCAGAGAGGCCCTTACCTTCCACATACGGAACCGGATTCCCAATTTTAGGAGTCGAGGCATCCCCGGGTTTGAGCACCGTTATGTCCATCACAATCACCACTTTCCTATATTATGCAGGAGACAAATAATAATAATAATAACCACACTAGACTACATGTATTGCCCACCATTCCTGTTGGCCCTTCAGGGCCCCAATCTGCAAAAACCCAACAAGAACCAACCATTTATTGACATTTTCCCCCCGTCAATATAGAATCATAGAATCAAAGAGTTGGAAGAGACCTCATGGGCAATCATCCAGTCCAACCCCATTCTGCCAAGAAGCAGGAATATTGCATTCAAATCACCCCTGACAGATGGCCATCCAGCCTCTGTTTAAAAGCTTCCAAAGAAGGAGCCTCCACCACACTCCGGGGCAGAGAGTTCCACTGCTGAACGAACGGCTCTCACAGTCAGGAAGTTCTTCCTCATGTTCAGGTAGAATCTCCTCTCTTGTAGTTTGAAGCCATTGTTTCATTGAGTCCTAGTCTCCAAGGAAGCAGAAAACAAGCTTGCTCCCTCCTCCCTGTGGCTTCCTCTCACATATTTATACATGGCTATCATGTCTCCTCTCAGCCTTCTCTTCTTCAGGCTGAAACATGCCCAGCTCCTTAAGCCGCTCCTCATAGGGCTTGTTCTCCAGACCCTTGATCATTTGAGTCGCCCTCCTCTGGACACATTCCAGCTTGTCAATATCTCTCTTGAATTGTGTGCCCAGAATTGGACACAATATTCCAGGTGTGGTCTAACCAAAGCAGAATAGAGCATGGGGAGCATGACTTCCCTAGATCCAGACACTAGGCTCCTACTCTTGATGCAGGCCAAAATCCCATTGGCTTTTTTTGCCGCCACATCACATTGTTGGCTCATGTTTAACTTGTTGTCCACGAGGACTCCAAGATCTTTTTCACACGTACTGCTCTCGAGCCAGGCATCTCCCTGGATGCCTGGATATTTACCTTCCATCCATATGGATATTTACCTTCCATCTTTCAAGGTGTTGACGATGAAGCGGTTAACTTGGCAGACGGCGTTGACAGCCAGGCTCTGGTCGTCCACCATGGAGTTCAGTTGCGTCGCCAGCATGAAGGCTACAAGGCGGAAATAATAGGAGGTGGGGTTTGAAAGGAGAAATACGGTAAATCCAACAGGTCAATAAAATATCTGCGAGCGAACACAAGGTAAGCCTGAACTCGGGACTTTTTTGGGTTCAAAATAACTAGACAAGACCAGGAGAGGTTTGAATTTTGTGAGTAAATTTATCATTATTTATTTATTTACAACATTTCTATGCCGCTCGTCTCACCCTGAAGGGGATCCAGAGCGGCTTACAAGATATATATAAATACAATGCATTATATTATTAGCTTACTACAATATCAGTATTATATATTACTATATTGTACTATACCATTATATTGTAATATTACATATAATATAAAATATATAATTATAATATATTATACAGCCTATGATACTGTGAACCTCCGCCTCCTCCTGAGAAAAATGTATAATATCACAAGGGATGACCACCTCACCCGCCTCATAGGAAACCTGCTACAAACAGGAGCTTTTTTGTTGAGTTCCAGGGCCAGAGAAGCAGATGGCGGAAACAGAAGAACGGCCTGCCTCAGGGGAGCGTGCTTGCTCCATCCATGTTCAACATCTACACAAATGACCAGCCACTGCCAGAAGGGACAGAGCTTCATCTATGCTGATGATCGTGCCATTACTGCTCAAGCAGGGAGCTTTGAGATGGTTGAACAGAAGCTCTCCAAAGCTCTAGGTGCCCTTACTGCCTATTACAGGGAAAACCAGCTGATCCCTAATCCATCTAAAACACAGACATGTGCTTTTCATCTCAAGAACAGACAAGCATCCCAAGCTCTGAGGATCACCTGGGAAGGAATCCCACTGGAGCATTGCAGCGCACCCAAATACCTGGGAGTCACTCTGGACCGTGCTCTGACCTACAAGAAGCACTGCCTGAACATCAAGCAAAAAGTGGGTGCTAGAAACAATATCATACGAAAGCTGACTGGCACAACCTGGGGATCACAACCAGACACAGTGAAGACATCTGCCCTTGCGCTTAGTTAATCTGCTGCTGACTACGCTTTCCCCCCCTGGCAAATAAAACACACAATAGCAGGATGTGGCTCTTAATGAGACATGCCGCATTATCACGGGGTGTCTGCGCCCTACACCACTGGAGAAATTACACTGCTTAGCCGGTATTGCACCACCTGACATCCGCCGGGAAGTAGCAGCCAATAGTGAAAGGACCAAGGCAGAGACATCTCCAGCTCATCCCTTGTTTGGGTATCAGCCAGCACGTCAACGACTTAAATCAAGAAATAGTTTTCTTAGATCTAAAGAGACACTCGCTGGAACACCTCAGCAAGCGAGAGTCCAAAAGTGGCAGGCTCAAACCCAGCCTGATACCAGATGAAGGTGAAAAGGAGAGGTGGGTGATAAATAACCATTTATTATTATTATTATTATCACAACAAAATGAGTACAAGGCAAACAAGATCTCTCTGCTGACTGTTGTATTCTATCACACTTTAGACCCTTCCCAAGTGCCTAGGACTGTGTGATGTATCGGCAAATAATGCATGCAGATCTGAATAGGGTGGCCTTTTCCAGCTGGCAGAGGGTGATTTTGTCAGCACTGATTATTTTTAAGCGCAGGCCAAGGTCTTTAGGCACTGCATTCAGTGTGCCGGTCACCACTGGGATCACCTTGACTGGCTTTTGCCAGAGTCTTTGCAATTATTATTATTATTATTACACGAAAGTGTGTTCACTCCATCACTCATCAGCATCCGGTAACGCGGAGGGCTACTTCCTGTAGAGATGGGTCGGATATTCTGGGAAGAAAACACAGTATTGATTAACAAATCACACACAACATTGTGACGCTGACGCAGAGCATATAATAAATCAGTTAAACAATTAATCCAATATTTTGGCCTACAGCTCCTAGAGATCCCAGCCAGTTTACCAGCTCTTATTTGCATCCCACTTAAAATTATTATTATTATTATTATTATTATTAGTGTCCTGCTTAATATTATTTGCATCCCTGTAAAAAAAATTAGTAATAGTAGTCGTATCCTGCCTAAAATAATAATTATTTGTACCCCATTTAAAATTATTATTATTATGTTTACTTAAAATATGCTTAAATTACTATTATTTGTCTCCTGCATAATATTATTTGTAGCCCTTTAAAATATTAGTAGTATCAGTAGTATCCTGCCTAAACATTATTTGTATCCCATTTAAAATTATTGTTATTATGTTCACTTAAAATTTGCTTAAATTATTATTTGTCTCCTGCATAATATTATCTGTAGCCCTTTAAAAATATTAGTAGCATTAGTAGTATCCTGCCTAAACATTATTATTTGTATCCCATTAAAAATTATTATTATTTACTTAAAATTTGCTTAAATTATTATTATTATTATTTGTCTATAATAATAATAATGTAAGCAAATTTTAAGTAAACATAATAATTAAATAAACAAACAATTATTTGTCTCCTGCATATTATTTGTAGCCCTTTAAAAATATTAGTAGTAATAGTAGTATCCTGCCTAAACATTATAATTATTTGTATCCCATTTAAAATTATTGTTATTATGTTTACTTAAAATTTGCTTAAATTATTATTATTATTATTATTATTATTATTATTATTATTATTTGTCTCCGGCATAATATTATTTGTAGCCCTTTAAAAATATTAGTAGTATTAGTAGTATCCTGCCTAAACATTATTATTTGTATCCCATTTAAAATTATTATTATGTTTACTTCAAATTTGCTTAAATTATTATTATTAGTCTATAATAATAATAATAATAATAATAATTTAAGCACACTTTAAGTAAACATAATAATTAAATAAACAAACAATTATTTGTCTCCTGCATAATATTATTTGTAGCCCTTTAAAAATATTAGTAGTATTAGTAGTATCCTGCCTAAACATTATAATTATTTGTACCCCATTTAAAATTATTATTGTTTACTTAAAATTTACTTAAATTATTATTATTATTTGTCTCCTGCATAATATTATTTGTAGCCCTTTAAAATATTAGTAGTATTAGTGTCCTGCCTAAACATTATAATTATTTGTAACCCATTTAAAATTATTATTATGTTTACTTAATTATTATTTGCATCTTCCCCCTAAAAAAAGACGGCAAAGCTCGCCACCTTGAGGCCAATCCCAGCTCTGCTTCTGTCCACAAAACATCCAGTAATTTCCCAATATTCAGTAGTATCACTTATGGAACAGAAGGTAAACATTCCCAGCAACATAACAGATAGATAAGATAGATAAATAAATAGATAGAGACTCACAATCAGCTGGAGGACAGCTTTCACAACGTTCTCTCCTTGCATGATACTCTGCAAAATGAGAGCAAAACAAAAGGGTTTTTATTCCCATTCCTTGAATCCTTCCACCGCTGCTTTGCAAATAGTTGGATGGTGATTAGTTATAAATTGATGTTGTTATTATTGTTATTTGATTTCTTACCCGTTTCTCCTCACGGCAAGGACCAACACGGTTAAAAACACCTCGTCATCATAGAACATAATGTACAATATATATTAACACATATTTCTATGAAATAAATATATTAAACATTAATGCTGTAAGTGTTCTAGGCTGTCTGCCCATGTTCCAGAAGCATTGTCTCCTGACGTTTCGCCAACATCTAGGGCAGGCATCCTCAGAGGTGGCTGTTTGAAGCAAGTGTGAATGTTGCAATTGACCACTTTGTTTAGCACTGAATGGCCTTGCAGCTTCAAAGACTGGGTGCTTCCTGCCTGGAGGAATCCTTTGTTGGGAGGTGTTAGCTGGCCCTGTTTCCTGTCTGTTTGAAGCAAGTGTGAGTGTTGCAATTGGCCACTTTGTTTAGCATTGAATGGCCTTGCAGCTTCAAAGACTGGGTGATTCCTACCTAGAGGAATCCTTTGTTGGGAGATATTAGCTGGCCCTGATTGTTTCCTGTCTGGCATTCATAATCATAGACTTGGAAGAGACCTCGTGAGCCATCCAGTCCAACTCCCTTCTGGCAGGAGGCAGGAAAATTGCATTCAAAGCACCCCTGACAGATGGTCATCCAAAGCCTCCAAAGAAGGAGCCTCCACCAGACTCCAGGGCAGAGAGTTCCCAGGCAGGAAGCATCCAGGATTTGAAGCTGCAAAACCATTTAATGCTAATCAAGCTTGACAAGAACAACACTAAAAGAAAGACAGGGGAATTCCAGACAGGAAAGAATCGGGGCCTGCTAACACCTCCCAACAAAGGATTCCCGTCAGACAGGAAGCGGCCAGGGTTTGAAGCTGCAAGGCCATTTAATGCTAATCAAGCTTGACAATAACAACACTAAAAACACACACACACACACACACAGGGGAATTCCAGACAGGAAAGAATCAGGGCCAGCTAACACCTCCCAACAAAGGATTCTTCTCCAGGCAGGAAGCAGCCAGTCCTTGAATATGCAAAGCCATTAAATGCTAGTCAAGGTGGCCAATTTCAACATTCACACACACACACACACACACACACACACACACACACATATATATATATATATATATATGAGCACACACACAACCCTCACTTTCCCAGTTTCCAACAGACCTCCCAACCTCTGAGGATGCCTGCCATAGATGTGGGCGAAACGTCAGGAGAGAATGCTTCTGGAACATGGCCATACTAGCTGTAAACCCTACAATAACCCAGTGATAACGGGAATAATACAACATGTATCTATGCATATGTATGTAAACCAAAATACACATTGGGTGTCCCTAGAGAGAGACTAAGCAGGCCTCACCGCCACGGCGCCCTCACTCAGCCGCAGCGCCATCTTGACTCTCCTCCTCACTTTCCCGCCACAGACTGGCCACTCACTGCCTCAGGAGGCGCACGCATGCGCACAAGGGGTCCTCTCTCGAAAGCGGGCTGCCATTGGACGGCGCTCCAGCCTCCTCGACTCTCATTGGCCGAGCCGCGCAAGTCCGGGCGGAAGTGCTCCTGCCCGGCGGGGTTTCGGCTTCACCGCTAGCGCCGCCTCTCCCGCTCCTCTAGGCCTCGGGCGCTTCTGAGAGGGGAAAAGGCCGTTTTTCGGCCGCCTCTCCCCTCAGCCGCCGGGTCTTGGTGCCTCCTCCTCACCTGCGGCTTTAGTCGACCCCCTGTTTGGGCGACGTGCTTTGGCCGGCCCTTTTCCCACCTACCTTCCCTTCGGTCGCACAACAACCCCGCGAGGTAGGACTGCGCGCCCGGAAAGTTATTTATTTATGCGTTGCTGCGGCCCAGTCTGGTTAAATTATATATATGAGAAACTAAAATATAATAAGAAATAAAATATATAATATTAATAATAAATAAGTAAAATTATATATATATATATATATATATATATATATATATATATATAATTATATATATATATATATAATTTTACTTATTTATTATTATTATTATATATTTTATTTCTTATTATATTTTAGTTTCTCAAGTCGCTCCTGACACGACAAAATTATATTTTAGTATTTTATTTATTATTATTTTATTTTATTTATTCTATTATTTATTATATATATATATATATATATATATATATTATTTTATTATTATTATTATATTTTTATTATTATTATGTTGTTGTTCATTCGTTCAGTCGTCTCCGACTCTTCGTGACCTCATGGACCAGCCCATGCCAGAGCTCCCTGTCGACCATCACCACCCCCAGCTCCTTCAAGGTCAAGCCAGTCACTTAAAGGATGCCATCCATCCATCTTGCCCTTGGTCGGCCCCTCTTCCTTTTGCCTTCCACTTTCCCCAGCATAATTGTCTTCTCTAGGCTTTGCTGTCTCCTCATGATGTGGCCAAAGTACTTCAACTTTCCCTCTCGTCTCCTTCCCTCCAGTGAGCAGTCGGGCTTTATTTCCTGGAGGATGGACTGGTTGGATCTTCTCGCAGTCCAAGGCACTCTCAGCACTTTCCTCCAACACCACAGTTCCAAAGCATCGATCTTCCTTCGCTCAGCCTTCCCTAAGGTCCAGCTCTCACATCCGTAGGTGACTACAGGGAATACCATGGCTTTGACTAGGCGGATCTTTGTTGCCAGTCTGATGTCTCTACTCTTTACTATTTTATCGAGACTGGACATTGCTCTCCTCCCAAGAAGGAAGCGTCTTCTGATTTCCTGGCCACAGTCTGCATCTGCAGTCATCTTTGCACCTAGAAATACAAAGTCTGTCACGGCCTCCACGGTTTCTCCCTCTATTTCCCAGTTGTCAATCATTCTTGTTGCCATAATCTTGGTTTTTTTGACGTTTAGCTGCAACCCGGCTTTTGCGCTTTCTTCTTTCACCTTGATTAGAAGGCTCCTCAGCTCCTCCTCGCTTTCGGCCATCAGAGTGGTGTCATCTGCATATCTGAGGTTGTTAATGTTTCTTCCAGCACTTTTCACCCCAGCCTTGCATTCATCCAGCCCCGCACATCGCATGATGTGTTCTGCATACAAGTTAAAAAGGTTGGGTGAGAGGATGCAGCCTTGCCGTACGCCTTTCCCAATCTTGAACCAGTCTGTTGTTCCATGGTCAGTTCTGACTGTTGCCCTTGGTCCTTGTACAGATTCCTCAGGAGAGAGGGAAGGGGGCTTGGGATGCCCATCCCACTAAGAACTTGCCACAATTATTATATTTTATTATTATTATTATTTTATTATTATATTTTATTATTATTATATTTTATTATTATTATTTTATATTTTATTTCTTATTATATTTTAGTTTCTCAAGTCGCTCCTGACACGACAAAATTATATTTTAGTATTTTATTTATTATTATTATTTTATTATTATATTTTATTATTATTATTATTATTATTATTATTATATTTTATTTCTTATTATATTGTAGTTTCTCATGTCGCTCCTGACACGACAAAATTATATTTTGGTATTTTATTTCTTCTGCTTATTACTTTATTATATTTTATTATTATTATATTATATTATTTTTATTTTATTTATTATTATTATTATTATTTTTATTTTATTTATTATTATTATTATTATTTTATATTTTATTTCTTATTATATTTTAGTACCTCAAGTCACTCCTGACAAAATTATATTTTAGTATTTTATTTATTATTATTTATTATTATATTTTACTATTATTTTATTATATTATATTTATTTTTATTTTTATTTTTATTTTTATTTTTATTTATTATTTTTATTTTTATTATTGTTAAATGGACAAGAAAGAAAACAGAATGAGATGGTTTCCCATATATGTAATCTCATAAATGCTTGTGGGTATGATTGTGACTGTAGAACACGCAACATATAATGATCCATGTGAGAAGAAGCAATCTGTGTCCCTAGGTTCTTGTGGGTTTTTTCGGGCTATAGGGCCATGTTCCAGAGGCATTTCTCCTGACGTTTCGCCTGCATCTATGGCAAGCATCCTCAGAGGTTGAGAAGGTCTGTTGGAAGTAGGAAAAATGGGTTTATATATCTGTGGAATGGCTGGGGTGGGGCAATCTGTGTCCCGATGTCAGCCACACCTTTCTAAAGATTGGGCCTGAGCATAAATTATGTAGTATAGCGTGTGTTGCTTTGACATGTTGGGCATAGACATCCTGTGATAATGCAGCATGTCTCATTAAGAGCCACATCCACTGTTTTAACGTGGTGAGATGTATTCCACACTAAAAGCACCTAAAGCTTTGGAGAGCTTCTGTTCAACCATTTCCAACCTCCCTGTATGAGCGGTGATGGCACTATCGTCAGCGTAGATGAAACTTTCTGTCCCTTCTGGCTAGTAATTTGTGTAAAAGTCTCTCAATAACAACAACAACAACCTATTGTATTAGTTTGTCTTCTATACAAATTAGATGTGTGGGGTATTATTATTAATCTTTCTCTCTCTCTCTCTCTCTATATATATATATACATATACATAGATAGATAGATACTTTAAAATATAATGTTCGTTTGTGGGATCAACATAACTCAAAAACCACTGGACTAATTGACACCAAATTTGGACACAAGACACTTCCCAGGCCAACGAGTGACCATCACTCATAAAAACACTGGAAAGCACAGTGGAAGGGACTTAAAAAGCCAAAAAAATATATAAAAATACATTACAACGCATGTGGAAAACCACATATATATATATACATTAACATACATATACACAAATATACACACACACCCATATATATATATACACATATACACAGACTGGGCCACTACAATGCGTGGCAGGGGATGGCTAGTTAATCATCATCATCTTCTTCTTCTAACTCAAAAACCACTGGACGAATTGACACCAAATTTGGACACAAGACACCTATCAGGCCAACGAGTGACCATCACTCATAAAAACACTGGAAAATACAGCAGAAGGGACTTTAAAAGTCAAAAATATAAATAATACATTACAATACATGCGCAAGACCACATATATACACATAGACACATACACACACACATATACACAGTGGGCCACAGCAACACGTGACAGGGGACGGCTAGTAATAATAACAGATATGAGCTCCTGTCAGTTCCAGCTCCCCATGTGGGAACATGAGAGAAGCCTCCCACAAGGATGGTCAAACATCAAAACATCCTTACAGACGGCCAATTCTCTCACACCAGAAGCAACTTGCAGTTTCTCAAGTTGCTCCTGACACGGAATATATATATGTGTGTGTGTGTGTGTGTGTATGTTTATATATGTATATATATGTGTGTGTGTGTGTATATATATATATATATACACACACATATATATATATATCCTATTGTGTTATTGTATTGTATTGTATTGTGTTGTTATTATTATTGTTATCATTATGTTTCTTTCCACAAAGAAGACTCAAAACAGCTTATTATTATTATTATTATTATTATTATTTGATACCCAACTAGATGAGTCCACAGCAGACACTCTGCTGGCTGTTGTATTGGATCACATGTCAGTCCCTTCCCAAGTGTCTAGGACTGTGTGATGTATTGCCAAATAATCTGTGCAGACCCCAGTAAGGTGGCCTTTTGCAGCTGGCAGATGGTAATCTTGTCAGCGTCGATTGTGTTTAAGTGCAGGCCAAGGTCTTGAGGCACTGCACCCAGTGTGCCGATCACCACTGGGACTACCTTGGCTGGCTTGTACAAGAATCATCATCATTATTATTATTATTATTATTATTATTATTATTATTATTGTTATTATGCAGGCAGAGGATGGACCTTCCAGTGGAAAAATGGCAGATGCACGTCAGGCAGAAATGGTCTTCCTTGGAGCCTTTCCTGAAGGAGAAGCTGAGCCATCCCTCGTCTCTCAGGGCCGCCTTCCTCCTCGCTTCCTCCCTCCTTCGGTAAGGCTTTTCACAAATGCAGGAGAAACCAAAGGGGGGTAGAAGTCCTTGCGTTATTCCTCAGCTTTCCCCTTCCCTTTGTATTATTATTATTATATTATTATTATTATTATTATTATTTGTAGACCTGAAGATGAGGAATATTTGCTCAGCCTCTCCAAGGACTTCTCCGTGAACAAGGATCCTGGCCTGGTTCTCTCCTGCAAAGAGGAAGGGAATGCAAGATTTCGGAGAAAAGAGTATCAATCTGCCGCAACGCTATATTCCAAGGTAATAATGATGACGATCATGATGAGAATAATAATAATAATAATAATAATAATAATAATAATAATAATAATATTTTGGAAAAGTATATATCTGCTGCACTGTATTTCAAGATTGTTGTAGTTGTTGTTGTTGCTATATTATTATTATTATTATTATTATTATTATTTTGGGGAAAGGAGTATGAATGCTGCAGCACTGTATTCCAACATAATAATAATATTAATAATAATATTAATAATAATAAACATTGGGAAAAGGAGTACAAATCTGCCACATGACAATACTTTTTGGAAAAGTAGAACACGAATCTGCTGCACTGTATTCCAAGGCTGTTGTTGTTGCTGCTATTTTATTATTATTATTTTATTTTTATTTTTTGGGGGGGGGGGAAAAGGAGTATGAATGCCACAGCACTGTATTCCAGCATTTTATTTATTTATTTATTTATTTATTTATTTATTTATTTATTTACGTCACTTATATCCCGCCCATATCAGCCCGCAGGCGACTCAGTAATAATAATAATAATAATAATAATAATAATAATAATAATAATAATAATAAACATTGGGAAAAGGAGTACGAATCTGCCGCATGATGGTAATATTTTTTTGGAAAAGGAGAGTACAAATCTACTGCACTTTATTCCAAGGTTGTTGTTGTTGCTGCTATTATATTATTATTATTATTATTATTATTATTATTATTATTATTATTATTTGGGGGAAAGGAGTATGAATGCCGCAGCACTGTATTCCAACATAATAATAATATTAATAATAATAAACATTGGGAAAAGGAGTACAAATCTGCCACATGACAATAATTTTTTGGAAAAGTAGAACACGAATAATAATAATACATTGGGAAAAGGAGTGCGAATCTGCCGAGGTGCTGTATTCCAAGGTAATAATGATGATGACAATAATAATAACAATAATTTTTTGGAAAAGGAGAGTACGAATCTGCTGCACTGTATTCCAAGGTTGTTGTTGTTGTTGTTGCTTTTATTATTATTATTATTATTATTATTATTATTATTATTACTTTGAGGAAAGGAGTATGAACACCGTAGCACTGTATTCCAGCGTCATCATCATCATCACCATCATCATCATCATTGGGAAAAGGAGTATGAATCCGCCGCTGCATTGTATTCTAGAGTAATGATGGTGATGATGATGATTATTATTATTATTATTTTGGGGAATAGAGAGTACGAATCTGCTGCAGCACTGCATTACAAGGTAGTAATAATAATATTGGACCTTTCTAGGCTCTGTTTCACGCAGAAATTGGCAGCCCCGAAATGGCCATTTGTTACGCCAACCGCTCTGCGGCCCTTTTCCATCTGGGACAGTTTGAGGTGCGTTTGCTTTTTCTGCAAATTATGTATTAAAATCCACAATATATTATCATTATTTTAGGTTGTTGTTGTTTGTTTATTGTTTTGATTCTCCTGCCAAGGGGATGATTGCACCAGGCAACGAGCTCTTTTTGGGTGACTTCGTTTGCACATTGCATATTAAAATCCACACTATATTACTATTCTTTTATATTATTATTATTATGTTGTTTTTGTTGTTGTTGTTTTGATTCTCCTGCCAAGCAGATGATTGCACAAACTAATGAGCTCTTTTTGGGTGACTTCTTTTGTAAATTGCATATTAAAATCCACAATATATTAATTATTATTATTATTATTATATTGTTGTTTTGTTGTTGTTTTGATTCTCCTGCCAAGGGGATGATCACACCAGCCAATGCACTCTTGGGGTAACTTTGTTTGCAAATTGCATGTTAAAATCCACAATATATTACGATTCTTCTATATTATTATTATTATGTTGCTGCTGCTACTGTTGTTGTTGTTGTTGTTGTTTTGATTCTCCTGCCAAGGGGATGATCTCAATAGCCAAGGAGCTCTTTTTGGGTGACTTTGTTTGCAAATTGCATATTAAAATTCACAATATATTACTATTCTTTTATATTATGATGATGTTGTTGTTGTTGTTGTTTTGATTCTCCTGCCAAGGGGATTATTGCAATAGCCAACGATCTCTTCTTGGGTGACTTTGTTTGCAAATTGCGTATTAAAATCCACAGTATAGTACTATTTATTATTATTATTATTATTATTATTATTATTATTATTATTATTATATTGTTGTTGTTGTTTTGATTTTAATTCCAAGGGGATGATTGCACCAGCCAATGCACTCTTTTGGAGTAACTTTGTTTGCAAATCGCATATTAAAATCCACATTATAGTACTATTCTTTTATATTATTACTATTTTGTTGTTGTTGTTGTTGTTTTGATTCTCCTGCCAAGAGGATGATCACACCAGCCAACAAGCTCTTTTTGGGTGACTTCGTTTGCAAATTACATATTAAAATTCACAATAATACTACTATTCTTTTATATTATTATGATGTTGTTGTTGTTGTTTTGATTCTCCTGATAAGGGGATGATCGCAATAGCCAACTATCTCTTCTTGAGTGACTTCGTTTGCAAATTGCATATTAAAGTCCACAATATAGTACTATTTATTATTAGTATTAGTATTATTATATTGTTGTTGTTGTTTTGATTTTCTTGCCAAGGGGATGATTGCACCAGCCAATGCACTCTTTTGGGTTAACTTTATTTGCAAATTGCATATTAAAATCCACAATATATTACTATTCTTTTATATTATGATGATGTTGTTGTTGTTGTTGTTGTTGTTGTTTTGATTCTCCTGCCAAGGGGATGATGGCACCAGCCAATGCACTCTTTTGGGGTAGCTTTGTTTGCAAATTGCATATTAAAATCCACAATATAGTATTATTGTTGTTGTTGGGTTGTTGTAGGTTTTTTCGGGCTGTATGGCCATGGTCTAGAGGCATTCTAGAGGCATGGCCATACAGCCCGAAAAAACCTACAACAACCTAGTGATTCCGGCTATGAAAGCCTTTGACAATACATTGTTGTTGTTGTTATATTGTTGTTTTGTTGTTCTTTTGATTTTCTTGCCAAGGGGATGATTGCACCAGCCAATGCACTCTTTTGGGGTAGCTTTGTTTGCAAATTGCTTAAGTGCTTCCACGGTCTGCCGCACCCCTCCTCGGCTTTTGCATACTTTTATATTCAGGTAATACAAGGGTTTTTTGGTCATGGAAAGTACTCTCTTTCCATCCCCCCTGCCCTTGACCTTTTGATGGAAAGTACCTTTTTGCACCTGCAGACTATGCGCTTAACCACAAACCAACTTCCTATCTAAGCTCAAACTTCGTATGACCTCTTAGAATCACTCTTGTTTTTAAAACATTTTCCTCCGTGCTGCTCCTTTTCTACAGGGTACATTTCTTATGTTTCCTTACTAAAGGTTTTAGCTATTTCTAATTTCACTCAAAGTCCCTTGCTTGGCTATTGCTAATTTCACTCAAAGACCCTTTCGTTACTTTATATTATTATTGTGATTGTTTTGATTCTCCTTCCAAGGGGATGAACAGCTCTTTCACCTGCAGACTTTGCGCTTAACCACAAACCAACTTCCTATGTAAGCTCGAACTTTGTATGACCTCTTGTTTTTAAAACATTTTCCTCTGTGCTGCTCCTTTTCTACAGGGAGGGGGTACATTTCTTATGTTTCCTTACTAAAGGTTTTAGCTATTTCTAATTTCACTCAAAGCCCCTTGCTTGGCTATTGCTAATTTCACTCAAAGACCCTTTCATTACTTTATATTATTATTGTGATTGTTTTGATTCTCCTTCCAAGGGGAGAATCAAGGGTGCCGAAAAAGAGGCACTTGCAGAACGGCACCCCATTGCTCTCTCTTGCTTTTGCCGGCCATCGTGATGCTTTTGCCTTCATGTTCGCCTTCCAGGTTTGCTTGGCGGACATTGGGAGGGCGCAGGAAGGGGGCTACCCGGAGAAGCTGTCCCCCAAACTCGTCCTGCGCCACACGGAGTGCCTCCAAAAATTGTCCCGACTGGAAGCCGAAAGGGAAAAAGGCTCGCTTCCTGAGACAGACATCGAAGCCTGGGAGGAAAACGGCCTCGTCTCGTGCGCTTCCGCGTCTGTGCGCTTGGCCTATTCCAAAGACAAGGGGCGCCACTGCATCGCGGAGACGGATATTGTTCCCGGGGAGGTTTTGCTCAAAGAGGAGGCCTTTGTGAGCGTCCTGCGCCCGGGCAACGGCGACGTCCATTGCCATCACTGTCTGCGCCCACTTGTCGCCTCTGTCCCTTGCTGCGGGTGCAGCTATGCCAAGTACTGCGGTTCCGCATGCGCCCGTGCGGCATGGCAGAGCTACCATCAAAGGGAGTGCCAATTTGGGGGGTTACTCCTAGCAATGGGGGTCTTCTGCCACGTTGCCTTGCGGGCCGTTCTCGTGGACAGATTCACGGAGGTTGTACGTTTGGTGGAGGAGGACGAGGAGCGGACGACGGGTATTTCCATCCCGGGCTGCGACGCTGACGGCCGATACCACAGTTCCTATCGGGCCGTCTTCGGACTTTTGCCTCACGTCGAGAAACACAGCCCTGAGTTCAAGTTCCTCTGCAGCTTCAGCGTCGCAGCCTTGTGCCGGGTTGTGGGGAAGGAGCCGTTTGTGGGGGGAAATGGATTAAGCGTGGACCAAGACGTCCTCGGGGAAGCCGTGCTGAGGCATGTGCTGCAGCTGCAGTGCAACGCACAAGCTGTGACCACCCTCCGCGTCTCGGGTGAGAGCCACAAGAGGGCAGTGTAGAAATAGAAAGGATTAGCTCTTTTTCCTCTAGGAATGAATGTATGTAATGCTCAGATGCAGCCAGAAGAGGGCAGTGTAGAGATAGAAAGGATTAGTTCCTTTCCTCTAAGGATGAATGTATGCAATGCTTAGATGCAGCCACAACAGGGTGGTGTATAGATAGAAAGGATTAGCTCCTTTCCTCTAGGAGTGAATGTATGTAGTTCTCAAATGCAGCCACAAGAGATCAGTGAATAGATAGCAAGGATTATTTCCTTCCCTCTAGGGATGAATGTATGTAATTCTCAGATACAGCTACAAGAGGGTGGTATATAGATAGAAAGGATTAGCTCCTTATCTCTTGGGATGAATGTATGTAATGCTCAGATGTAGCCACAAGAGAGCAACGTAGAGATAGAAAGGATTAGCTCCTTTCCTCTAGGGATGAATGTATGTAATTCTCAGATGCAGCTACAAGAGGGTGGTGTATAGATAGAAAGGATTAGCTCCTTATCTCTTGGGATGAATGTATGTAATGCTCAGATGTAGCCACAAGAGAGCAACGTAGAGATAGAAAGGATTAGCTTCTTTCCTCTAGGGATGAATGTATGTAGTTCTCAAATGCAGCCACAAGAGATCAGTGAATAGATAGCAAGGATTAGCTCCTTATCTCTTGGGATGAATGTATGTAATGCTCAGATGTAGCCACAAGAGAGCAACGTAGAGATAGAAAGGATTAGCTTCTTTCCTCTAGGGATGAATGTATGTAATTCTCAGATGCAGCCAGAAGAGGGCAGTGTAGAGATAGAAAGGATTAGCTGCTTTCCTCTAGGGGTGAATGTATGCAATGCTCAGATGCAGCCAAAAGAGGGCAGTGTGTACATAGAAAGGATTCGCTATTAGCCTCGAGGGAAGAATATATGCAGTGCTCAGGTACAGCCACTAGAAGGCAGTGTAGGATTAGCTTCTGGCCTCTAGGGATGAACGTATGCAATGCTCAGGTGCAACCCCAAGAGGGCAGTCTAGAGATAGAAAGGATTAACTATTAGCCTCTAGCGATGTATATTATTATTATATTTACTTATTTCGCACTTTATCTCCCATCTGCCTATCTGTGTCCTTGATGAGGACTAGGGACTTGTGCGGGTTGAGTTCCTGCACAAAGGCGCCTCCTCTTTTCCCTCAGGATGCGAAGCAGTGGCTCGCCATGAGGAGGTGACACTGGCCACGGCCCTCTACCCGGTGCTCAGCCTCCTGAACCACTCCTGCGACCCCAACACCAGTTTGGCTTTCGACGGGCGGACGGTGGCAGTCAGGGCCTCGCGGGCCATCCCCAGAGGGCAGGAGATCCTCCATTGCTACGGTGAGCTGCCCTGCTGCTCTTATCGAATCCTAGAGTTGGGAGGGGTCCCCAAAGGCCATCCAGTCCAACCTCCAGGAAGGAAAGCCCTCCCGATAGATGCCCACCCAGCCTCTGCTTAATGAGTTGCCCGAAAGGCTGAGGTGGTATACAAATACAGTAAATAATATAATATAATATAATCCTAGAGTTGGGAGGGTCCCCCAAAGGCCATCTAGTCCAACCTCTAGGAAGGAAAGATACCATCAAAGCTGTGTTGTTATGGACATGTAAATATAATAATAATATATAATAATAGAAAATATAATAAATATAAGTATTATAATAATATACTATATAAAAATAATAAATAATATAATAATATAATAATCTATAATATTAATGCCTCTAATATCCTAGGCCCTTGGGAAGAGCCTGATATTCAGAGACGAATCCCAAACACTTGGACCTAATGTGCATGTTCTTATGGACATGTAATATTAATAATAATAATAATAATAATAATAATTAGAATTAATTTTAATAATAATAATATATAATGAATAGAATAATTATAATTATGCATAATATAATAAATATAATATTATATAATATAATAATGAATAGAAAAATACAATATTAATAAATATAAATAATAATAATACAACTCTAATATATTAGGCCCTTGGGAAGAGCCCGATATTCAGAGACAAATCCCAGACTCTTGGAGCTAATGTGCATGTGTGCTGCGTTGTTATGTACATGTAAAAATAATAATAATAATAATAATAATAATAATAATAATAATAATAATAAATACAGTAAATATAAATATAATACTGTATAATATAATTAATATAATATAATAATGAATAGAATAATATAATATTAATAAATAGAATAATAATAATAATACCTCTAATACCCTAGGCCTTTTGGAATAGCCCAATATTCAGAGATGAATCCCAGACACTTGGAGCTAATGTGCATGTGTGTTGTGCCGTTATGTAGATGTAAAATAATAATAGTAATAATATCATAGGATCCTAGACTTGGGAGGGACCCGCAACCACTTTCCCAGCCTCCTGGCACTCACGCATCAGGCTTATTTCTTGCTTGACTTCTTTGGCCTTCTGTTGCCCAGCCAAGTGTGAAGCGAGGAATCAATTCTTAAACAGTTGCCGGCTGTCACGTTGTTGGTTGACCAGACAGACGGGGGTTTTATTTTCCAGCTCGAGGAGCCTGAATCGAAAGGGAAACGGGCCGCTTCCCACTCACCTTGGCCTTTAAAACATCTTCCAGACCAGGCATGGGCTTGACTGCTGGTCTGTGACCGTAATAATAAAATGCATGCGTTCCTGCTCTCGGCAGGGCCCCACCGGTGCAGGATGAAGCCCACGGAGAGGCGGCAGAGGCTCCTGGCCCAGTATTTCTTCGAATGCCGCTGCCCAGCTTGTGCAGAGGAGGCAGGCCCTGAGTCGGCCTCTGGATCGAGCCTCTTCCGCTGCCCCACCTGCCGAGCGCCCATGCAGGTAAGACTCACTGCAACCTGCTCAAGATTCCACTCGTTGTTTGTGATGTATGTAATTCAGATGGCTTACTGTATTGTGTATGTGTGTATTGGTTTGCACTTTTTCTTTGGTTGTTCATGGGTTGTTCAGGACTCAGACACCATTGATCATGTGATCAGGTCTGGGCTTGTTCAGGACTCAGGCTCCATTGATTATGTGATCAGGTCTGGGCTTATTCAGGACTCAGACTCCATTGATTATGTGATCAAGTCTGGACTTGTTCAGGACTCAGACTCCATTGATTATGTGATCAGGTCTGGGTTTGTTCAGGACTCAGATTCCATTGATTATGTGATCAGGTCTGGGCTTGTTCTGGACTCAGACTCCATTGATTATGTGATCAGGTCTGGGCTTGTTCAGGACTCAGACTCCATTGATTATGTGATCAAGTCTGGGCTTGTTCAGGACTCAGGCTCCATTGATTATGTGATCAAGTCTGGGCTTGTTCAGGACTCAGGCTCCATTGATTATGTGATCAGGTCTGGGTTTGTTCAGGACTCAGACTCCATTGATTATGTGATCAGGCCTGGGCTTGTTCAGGACTCAGGCTCCATTGATTATGTGATCAGGTCTGGGCTTGTTCAGGACTCAGACTCCATTGATTATGTGATCAGGTCTGGGCTTGTTCAGGACTCAGACTCCATTGATTCTGTGATCAGGTCTGGGCTTGTTCAGGACTCAGACTCCATTGATTCTGTGATCAGGTCTGGGCTTGTTCAGGAGTCAGACTCCATTGATTATGTGATCAGGTCTGGGCTTGCTCAGGACTCAGACCCCATTTTAGACAAATGTTTCTCAACCTGGGGATCGGGAATCCAGTGGGGGTCACGAGAGGGTTTCAGAGGAGTCACCAAAGACCATCAGAAAACATATATTTCTGATGGTCTGAGGAACCCCTTTGGCAGAGAAGGCTGAAGGTTTCTCCGCCTGTCCTTCTCTTCCTTTTTGGAAACAGCTAGTGAACCCTCCCATCAAAAGCCCTCCTCCTGCTGTGATTGGCTGGCCTCTCAGCCAAGGGGACACTCCAAATGGGGTGAGCATGCGTGCTCAGCACATAGCAGCATGGTGCACGTGTGCGAGGCTGGAGGGAGACTCATGTCAGCAAGTCCCTGGGGGTCTCTGTGTGGGAAGTTTGGCCCAATTCTGCCATTGGTGGGGTTCAGAGGGCTCTTTGATTGTAGGCGAACTATAAATCCCAGCAACTCTAACTCCCAAATGTAAAGGTCTATTTTTTCCAAACTTCACCAGTGTTTACATTTGGACATATTGAGTATCTGTGCCAAGTTTGGTCCAGATCCATCATTGTTTGAGTTCACAGTGCTCTCTGAAGTTAGGTGAACTATAACTCCCAAACTCAAGTTCAATGCCCACCAAACCCTCCCAGTATTTTCTGTTGGTTATGGGAGTTCCATGTGCCAAGATTGGCTCAATTCCATTGTTGGTGGAGTTCAGAATACTCTTTGATTGTAGGTGAACTATAAATCCCAGCAACTACAACTCCCAAATGTCAACTTCTATTTCCCACCACATCTGAGCATATTGAGTACTTGTACCAAGTTTGGTCCAGATCCATCATTGTTTGAGTCCACAGTGCTCTCTGGATGTAGGTGAACTACAACTCCCAAACTCAAGGTCAGTGCCACCAAACCCTTCCAGTATTTTCTGTTGGTCATGGGGGTTCTGAGTGCCAACTTTGGTTCAATTCCATTATTGGTGGGGTTCAAAATGCTTCTTGATTGTAGGTGAACTATACATCTCTGCAACTACAACTCCCAAAGGTCCATTTCCCCAAACTCCACCAGTGTTCACATTTGGACATAATTGAGTATTCATGCCAAGTTTAGTCCAGACTCATCATTGTTTGAGTCCACAGTGCTCTCTGGATGTAGGTGAACTACAACTCCCAAACTCAAGGTCAATCCCAGCAAACCCTTCCATTTTGTGTTTTGTACATTGGCATATCTTATTCCCTAAGAGTCCAAAGACATATTTAGGACATTATCCTTTCCAGGGGGAAGGCCCGTTCCTCTGTTGCTCCAGTCCGTCTTGCAAAGCCGTGCTCCCAAAAGAAGGCTTCCAAGATCAGCTGCGCAAACTCCGGCAGCGCATGGAGGCAGCCATGGATCTCCTCGCACAGGGCAAAGCAGGTGAGGGGTTGGCATTGCCCTGGCAAAGAAGTTACTTTGGGCCGGAAAAACATTGGGGAAGGAAGACCCCTCTCTTTTTGGTCTGTGGATTCTCAAGGGGAGCCTCGACCACAATATGGATTCTCAGGCTGAGTTTTCCTTCCCTTTTCTCTCCAGATCGGTCCGAGGAGCAGCTCCGGAAGTGCCACCTGGAAGCCCAGCGGCTCCTCTCTCCGGGGCATTTGGTGGCGGGGGAGATCGAGGACCACCTGGCGCAGGTGCACGCCACGCAAGGTGAGGAGCCCGCCTCCTGATGCGCCCAGATTCGGGGCCTTTCTGCCCCCTTGCAAATCACCTGGCTTTCACTACTATAGTCCAGAACCATGTTGTTGTTGCTGTTGTTATTTTGTTGTTGTTCTTATGCAGTGTGGCAGCATTTTCTTCATGTGGGAAGGGACGGCACACAGATCCAGTGGTTCTGACCCTTCCCCAGAGCCTTGTTGTTGTTGTTGTTGTTGTTGTTGTTATCGGTGATGATAATTATTATTAGTGTGGCAGCATTTCCATTATGTGGGAAGGGGTGGCACACAGATCCAGTGGCTGCGACTCTTCCCCAGAGCCTTGTTGTTGTTGTTGTTGTTGTTGTTGTTATCGGTGATGATAATTATTATTAATCAGTGTGGCAGCATTTTCTTCATGTGGGAAGGGGTGGCACACAGATCCAGTGGCTGCGACCCTTCCCCAGAGCCTTGTTGTTGTTGTTGTTGTTGTTATTGGTGATGATCATTATTATTAATCAATGTGGCAGCATTTTCTTCATGTGGGAAGGGATGGCACACAGATCTAGTGTTTCTGACCCTTCCCCAGAGCCTTGTTGTTGTTGATAATTATTATTAATCAGTGTGGCAGCATTTCCGTTATGTGGGAAGGAGTGGCACACAGATCTAGTGGCTGCGACCCTTCCCCAGAGCCTTGTTGTTTTTGTTGGTGATTATTATTATTCAGTGTGGCAACATTTCCTTCATGTGGGAAAGGATGGCACACAGATCCACTGGTTTTGACCCATCCCCAGAGCCTTGTTGTTGTTGTTGTTGATGATGATGATGATTCAGTGTGGCAGCATTTCCTTCATGTGGGAAAGGATTGCACACAGATCCAATGGTTCTGACCCTTCCCTAGAGCCTTGTTGTTGTTGTTGTTCAGTGTGGCAGCATTCTCTTCATGTGGGAAAGCATGGTGCACGGATCCACTGGTTACGACACTTCCCCAGAACATTGGTGTTGTTGTTGTTGTTCAGCGTGACAGCATTTCCTTCATATGGGAGGAAATGGCACAGATATCCAGTGGTTACAGCACTTCCCAGAGCCTTGTTGTTGTTGTTATTGATGATAATTATTATTATTAATCAGTGTGGCAGCATTATCTTCATTTGGGAAAGGATGGCACAGAGATCCAGTGGTTCTGACACTTCCCTAGAGCCTTGTTGTTGTTGTTGTTATTGTTGTTGTTGTTGTTGTTGTTCTGACAGTTTCCCAGAGCCTTGTTATTGTTGTTGTTGTTGTTGATGATAATTATTATTAATCAATGTGGCAACATTTTCTTCATGTGGGAAGGGGTGGCACAGAGACCCAGTGGTTCTGACCTGGAGCCTTGTTGTTGTTGTTTTTGTTTTTGTTATTGATGATGATAATTATTATTATTTGGTGTGCCAGCATTTTCTTCATGTGGGAAGGGATGGCACACAGATCCAGTGATTACAACCCTTCCCCAGAGCCTTGCTGCTGTTGTTGTTGTTGTCGCCATTGTTGTTGTTATTCAGTGTGGCAGCATTTCTTTTATGTGGGAAGGGATGGCACAGAGGTCCAGTGGTGCTAACCCTTCCCCAGAGCCTTTTTGTTGTTGTTGTTGTTGTTGTTCAGTGTGGCAGCATGTTTCAGGAGGACGAAAGTCACTGCGCCTGCTTTATTCCTCTGTGCCTCTTTCTCTCTCTTTGCAGGGAATTGGCCCGAAGCAGCAGCACACCTGCGCAGGAGCATCGAGGTTGTGGAGGCCCACTATGGGGCCGGCAGCATCGAAGTGGGGCAGGAGCTCTTCAAACTGGCCCAGGTCCTCTTCAACGGGTGAGTCTTTGGTGAAACGGGTCTTTGTGCTCTGAGCATTGGCCCCAAAACCCTGAGTGGAGAGGGGAGGCTGTATCTGTGCCCATGGTATGCACTCAGATCTCCTATTATTATTATTATTACTATTATTATTACTATTACTATTCTTATTTACATAACAGCACAGCACACATGGACATGAGGTCAAAGTGTCTGGTGTTCATTTCTGAATATCGGGCTCTTTCCAAGGGCCTAGAATATTATTATGCTATATTATTATTATTATTATTATTATTATTATTATTATTATTATTATTTATTTACATGTACATAACAGCACAACACACACGCACATTAAGTCCAAGTGTCCGGGATTCATCACTGAACACTGGGCTCTTTCCAAGTGCCTAGGATATTATTATGTTATTATATATTATTATTATTTTATATCATTTATTATTATTATTATTATTATTATTATTATTATTATTATTATTATTATTGTATTTACATGTACATCACAGCACACATGCACATGAGGTCCAAGTGTCTGCGGTTTGTCTATCAATCTCTTTCCAAGGGCCTAGGATATTATTATGCTATGATATTATTATATTATATTATTATTTACATGTACATAACAGCACAACACACATGCACATGAGGTCCAATTGTCTGGGGTTTGTCTCTGAATATTAGGCGCTTTCCAAGGCCCTAGGATATTATATTACATTATTATTATTATTATTATATTTACATGTACATCACAGCACAGCGCACATGCACATCAGGTCCAAGCGTCTGGGGTTTGCCTCTGAATATCTGGCTCTTTCCTAGGGCCTAGGATATTATTATGCTATTATATTACTATATTATTATTATTATTATTACATGTATATAATATCCAGCACATATGCACATGAGGTCCAAGTGTCTGGGGTGCACCTCTGAATATCTGGCTCCTTCCAAGGGCCTAGGATATTATTATGCTATTATATTACTATATTATTATTATTATATTTACATGTATATAATATCCAGCACATATGCACATTGAGGTCCAAGTGTTTGGGGTTTGTCTCTGAATATCTGGGTCTTTCCAAGGGCCTAGGATATTATTATGCTATATTATTATTATTATTATTATTATTATTATTATTATTATTATTATTATTATTATTATATTTACATGTACATAACATCCAGCACACATGCACATGAGGTCCAAGTGTTTGGGCTTCGCCTCTGAATATCTGGCTCTTTCCAAGTCCAGTCAATATCTCATGGAGCCCCCGGTAGCGCAGTGGATTAAACTGCTGAGCTGCTGAACTTGCTGACCGAAAGGTCGGCGGTTCGAATCTGGGGAGTGGGATGAGCTGTTGCCAACCTAGCAGTTTGAAAACATGCAAATGTGAGTACATCAATAGGTACCGCTTCTGCAGGAAGGTAACGACACTCCATGCAGTCATGCAGGCCACATGACCTAGGAGGTGTCTGTGGACAACGCCGGCTCTTCGGCTTGGAAATGGAGATGAGCACCAGGATCCCATAATCGGGCGCGACTAGACATATTTTCTCCTCCTCTGACCTTATTTGCCAGGCATTTCGTCCCGGAGGCGCTTCAGGCGGCGGAGAAGGCCGAGGCAGCGCTGTCGGTGCAGATGGGGCCCCGGAGCCCCGAGGTCCAAGAGCTGCGGGAGATGAAGTCCTGCCTGGAGGAGCTGCTCCGAGGATGAGGCCCCAGGTGCCAGGATGTAAGTGGGCGCCTGGAGAAGCCAACCAATGTGTACACACTTGGACACTCTCAACCCTTGATTCCTCCTGCCCTGGGGGGTATTGATATTGTCATTTGGGAGTTGTAGTTGCTGGGATTTATAGTTCACCTACAATCAAAGAGCATTCTGAACTCCTACGACCGACAGAAAATTTGGACAGCACACACCTAACATCCCAATGTATGTCCTTCACTCAAAAAAATTGATTTTGTCATTTGGGAGTTGTAGTTGCTGGGATTTATAGTTCGCCTACAATCAAAGAACATTCTGAACTCCACCAATGATAGAATTGGGCCAAACTTTGCACACAGAACTCCCAAGAGAAAATACTGGAAGGGTTTGGTGAGCATTGATCTTGAATTTGGGAGTTGTAGTTCACTTACATCAAGAGAGCACTGTGGACTCAGATAATGATGGGTCTGGACGAAACTTGACATGAATACGCACTATGCCCAAATATGAACACTGGTGGAGTTTGGGGAAAATAGACCTTGACATTTGGAAGTTGTAGTTGCTGGGATTTATAGTTCACCTACAATCCAAGAGCATTCTGAACCCCACCAATGATGGAATTGGGCCAAACTCAACACACAGAACTCCCATGACTGACGGAAAACACTAGAAGGGTTTGGTAGGCATTGACCTTGAATTTGGGAGTTGTAGTTCACCTACATCCTGGACTCAGATAACGATGGATCTAGACCAAACTTGACACGAATACTCACTATGCCCAAATGTGAACACTGATGCAGTTTGGGGAAAATAGACCTTGACATTTGGAAGTTGTAGTTGCTGGGATTTATAGTTCACCTACAATCAAAGACCATTCTGAACTCCACCAATAATGGAATCGAACCAAAGTTGGTACACAGAACTCCAGCGACTGACAGAAAACTCTAGAAGGGTTTGGTAGGCATTGATTTTGAATTTGGGAATTGTAGTTCATCTCGATCCAGAGAGCACTCTGGACTCAAGTAATTATGAGTCTGGACCAAACTTGGCACAAATACTCAATATGCGCAAATGTGAACACTGGTGGAGTTTGTGGGAAATAGACCTTGACATTTGGGAGTTGTAGTTGCTGGGATTTATAGTTCACCTACATCCAGAAAGTAAACCTATCGGTTCAAAAATATGCAAACTTGGGCTATGATTCTTAACACTCGCTTTCCAGGCAGAAGCATGTTTATTGTGGCACGGCTACACAACACGGCAGGATAGGGATGGCCGCCCACGCCTTCCCTGGGCGGGCGGGGGGCCGCTCTTAAGAGCTCCGGGGGTCCAGGACCTTCCCGATGAAGAGCAGGGTGCCCGTGTCGGTGTCCCGGAGGACGAAGAGGAAGGGCTGGTTCAGGTGGTACTCGATGGGGAAGTCGAGGCGGGCGGCCTCCACGTCTGAAGGGAAGGCGTCCCCGGCACCCTCCTCCCCGAGGTCCAGGGCCACTTTGTGCAGGACGTGGGTCACCTTTAGGGCCTTCGGGGCAATCTTGCTCAAGTCGGGCGTCGAGAAGAGACCCTGCAGCCCTGCCGGGAGGAAGGCAAAACACGTCATCCACATGATGGAGAGATAGGGAGGGAGGGAGGGAGGGAGGGAGGGAGGGAGGGAGGGAGGGAGGAGGAGAGGATGGAGGATGGATGGATGGATGGATAGATAGATAGATAGATAGATAGATAGATAGATAGATAGATAGATAGATAGATAGATAGAGTGAGTGGTGGGTGGGTGGGTGGGTGGGTGGATGAGTGTGTAGGTAGGTAGGTAGGTAGATAGAGGGATAGATAGAGGGATAGAAAGATAGAGTGGTGGGTGGGTGAGTGTGTAGGTAGGTAGGTAGGTAGATAGAGGGATAGATAGAGGGATATATAGATAGAGTGGTGGGTGGGTGAGTGTGTTGGTAGGTAGGTAGGTAGGTAGGTAGGTAGGTAGGTAGATAGAGGGATAGATAGAGGGATAGAAAGATAGAGTGGTGAGTGGGTGAGTGTGTAGGTAGGTAGGTAGGTAGATAGATAGATAGATAGATAGAGGGATAGATAGAGGGATAGATAGAGGGATATATAGATAGAGTGGTGGGTGGGTGAGTGTGTAGGTAGGTATATAGATAGATAGCGAGATAGAGAGAGAGCAGTGGGTGGGAGAGGTAGGTAGGTAGGTAGAAGGATGCATAGATAGAGGGATGGATAGATGGATGGATAGAGAGAGAGTGTGGTGGGTGGGTCAATGGGTAGGTAGGTAGATAGAGGGATAGATGGATGGATGGATGGATGGATGGATGGATGGATGGATGTGTAGATGGATGGGTAGATAGCGGGACAGAGAGAGCGAGAGGTGGGTGGGTGGTTGAGTGGATAGGTAGGTACTAGGTGGGTAGAGGGATAGATAGATAGATAGATAGATAGATAGATAGATAGATAGATAGATAGATAGATAGAGGGATTGATGGATAGATAGATCGATCGAGGGATAGAGAGAGTGGTGGGTAGGTAGGTAGAAGGATGAATAGATAGATGGATACATGGGTAGAGGGGTAGATAGAGGAAGTGGTGGGTGGGTAAATGGGTAGGTAGATAGAGGGATAGATAGATAGAGGGACAGATGGATAGATAGATGGATGGATAGATAGAGGGATGGATAGATACAGATAGATAGATACAGATAGATAGATAGATAGATAGATAGATAGATAGATAGATAGATAGATAGATAGATAGATAGATAGATAGATAGATAGAGGGAGAGATAGAGGGAGAGATAGAGGGATAGATAGAGGGATAGATAGAGGGATAGATAGAGTGGTGAGTGGGTAGGTAGGTAGGTAGAGGGATGGATAGAGGGATAGATGGATGGATGGATAGATAGACAGGAGGGAGGGAGGGAGGGATAGATAAAATGGTGAGTAGGAAGGTAGATAGAGGGATGGATAGGTAGATACATACATACATAGAGGGATAGATAGAAAGAGAAAGATCGATAGAGTGGTGGGTGGGTGAGTGGGTAGGTAGGTAGAGGCATAGATTCTACCATAATAGGGTAGATAGATAGATAGATAGATAGATAGATAGATAGATAGATAGATAGATAGATAGATAGGGTGGGAGGGTGAATAGAGTAATAGATAGAGTAATAGATAGATTGGTGAGTGGGTAGGTAGGTAGGTATGTAGGTAGGTAGAGGGATGCATAGATAGATAGATGGATGGATAGATGGATAGATAGATAGATAGATAGATAGATAGATAGATAGATAGATAGATAGATAGATAGATGGATGGATGGATGGATGGATGGATGGATGGATGGATGGATGGATGGATGGATGGATGGATAGATAGAAGGATAGATAGATAGATAGATAGATAGATAGATAGATAGAGGGATAGTCGTTAAGTAGGGGTCTCCGTGCGACTTTTCTCGAGGTCCGGATGGGATACCTACGCATTTCCTGCAGGGTCCCGGTGAGGGGGGTCTCAGCCACCATCTTGAGCCGGGGGAGGCTCAGCACCGCATGGACCGCCTTGAGCTGCTTGTCCACATCGTGAACAAACTCGGAGGTGAGGCTCTCCTCGATCAGGGTCAGGTTCTGGGTCACGCTTTGGGGCAGGAAGAACATGGCGCTCAGGCCGCCGGCCAAGGGCAGCTGCGCAATCTGATAGGAGCGAAGAGATAGGCATGGGAAGCCTATTATTATTATTACTATGATTATATTTATTTATACTCTGTTTTATCTTGTATGGTGGGGATGTTTACCTGCCTCGTCCTTCCGACCCACCTTGCAGCTGAGCTCCGAGTCAAAGCCATACTTTAGGATGGCCTGCGGGGCCGACATCATGGGCAGCCTCACGGTCCGCTCCTCGTCCAGGTGGAAGGTCTGCAGCTTGGTCAGCTTGGGGTCAAAGCGGGTGGCCCACTGACCTGCAGTTGCAGGTGGAATTTATTATTATTACATTAAAATATATTTGATTATTTAATTATGCATATAATAATCCTTAGAGGCTAACAGCTAATCCTTTCAGTATACTGCCCCCTTTTGGCTGCATCTGAGCTCTACATACATACATCCCAGAAGGCTAATAACTAATCCTTTCTATCTCTACACTGCCCTCTTGTGGCTGCATCTGAGCAGTGCATATATGTATCTCAGAGGCTAATAGCTAATCCTTTCTATCTATACATCACCCTCTTGTGGCTGCATCCGAGCACAGCATACACAGAAGCCTGTAGCTAATCCTTTCTATCTATACACAGCCCTCTTGAGGCTGCATCTGAGCTCTTCATACATTCAACCCTAGAGGCTAATAGCTAATCCTTTCTATCTCTACACTGCCCTCTTGTGGCTGCATCTGAGCAGGGCATATGTTTATCTCAGAAGCTAATAGCTAATCCTTTCTATCTATACATCACCCTCTTGTGGCTGCATCCGAGCACAGCATACACAGAAGCCTGTAGCTAATCCTTTCTATCTATACACAGCCCTCTTGAGGCTGCATCTGAGCTCTTCATACATTCAATCCCTAGAGGCTAATAGCTAATCCTTTCTATCTATACATCACCCTCTTGTGGCTGCATCTGAGCACAGCATACATAGAGGCCTGTAGCTAATCCTTTATATCTATACACAGCCCTCTTGTGGCTGCATCCGAGCACAGTATACATAGAGGCCTGTAGCTAATCCTTTCTATCTATACACAGCCCTCTTGTGGCTGCATCTGAGCACTGTATTCATTCAACCCTAGAGGCTAATAGCTAATCCTTTCTACCTATAGACTACCCTCTTATGGCCGCATCTGGGCACTGCATACATACATCCCTAAAGGTCTGCAGTTCATGACAGCCACTCTTTGGAGCCCCCCCCCCCCCTTCCAATGCTTGCCTTTGAAATATGCTGCTCCGAGGAGGAGGATGCTGACTCCGGATGGGATCTCGGCCAGGATCCTGGTCACCTTCCCCCCAGTCCTCTGCTGCACCCAGTTGTTGATCTCTTGGAGGTCGGCCCTGGCGTTGCCGCTCAGGACCCTCGGCCGGAACCCGTAGGACTTATCCAGCTCGTTCACGAAGCCCACTTTCATCCGCAGCCCTGAATACAAGACCAAGGGGACCCCTTTCAGGTCAAGCATTTACACATATTGGTTTTGGAAGTCAACATAGGCAACAGGGTGTCCGCAGATCACTAGGTAGGTAGAGGGATAGATAGAGGGATAGAGAGAGAGAGAGGGATGGATGGATAGAGGGATAGATAGAGTGGTGAGTGGGTAGGTAGGTAGATAGAGGGATGGGTGGATGGATAGAAAGATACATAGAGGAGAGAGAGAGAGGTGGGTGGGTGGGTGAATGGGTAGGTAGGTAGAGGGATAGAGAGAGAGGGGGGATGGATGGATACAGGGATGGATAGAGGGATAGATAGAGGGATAGAGTGGTGAGTGGGTAGGTAGGTAGAGGGATGGGTGGGTGGGTGGTTGGATGGATGGATAGAAAGATACATAGAGGAGAGAGAGAGAGGTGGGTGGGTGGGTGAATGGGTAGGTAGGTAGAAAGAGGGTAGATAGATAGGTAGACAGAGAGAGATGGAGGGATGGATAGAGGGATAGATAGAAGGAGAGAGAGAGGGATAGAGTGGTGAGTGGGTAGTAGGTAGAGGAATGGATAGAGATAGATAGATAGATAGATAGATAGATAGATAGATAGATAGATAGAGGGATAAATATATATATATAGAGAGAGGTGGGTGGGTGAGTGGGTAGGTAGGTAAGTAGGTAGAGGGATAGATAGAGAGAGAGAGGGATAGAGAGATGGAGGGATGGATAGAGGGATAGAGTAGTGAGTGGGTAGTAGGTAGATAGAGGGATGGATAGAGATGGAAAGAGATAGATAGAGATAGAGGGATATATATATAGAGAGAGAGAGAGGTGGGTAGGTGAGTGGGTAGGTAGGTAGGTATAGGGATAGATAGATAGACAGAGAGAGGGGGGATAGTGGGATAGAGAGGGGGGATAGAGAGAGAGTGGTGGGTAGGTAGGTAGGTAGGTAGGTAGGTAGATGGATGGATGGATAAATCGAGAGAGAGAGGTGGGTGGGTGACAACCTACTTCTCTCCATGACGAGTCGTGAGGCCGTCTTGAAGCCTTTGGCTGGAGCCGCGAGGCTACCCAGGAGGCCTTTGTAAACACCGTGGACCTGGGTCTTGTCCAGCAGGTCGTAGAAGAGGGCCCGCTGGATGACGCCCTCCGTCCGCTCCCCGGCACCTGCCGATGACAGAGCGGAGCGGTCAAGCCCGTCGGCACCCATTTCCCCTCCCATTAAGCCCTATCCGTCTTACGTCTCTCACCCAAGGAGAGGCCGGAGAGGGCCGTGGCCAGGCTGAAGGGCGAGAGCAGCACGTTGCCGGTGGGGGTCTGGCCGGACTGCTGGCGGAAAAGCTCGTAGCCGAAGTTGGACACGGAGGCAGCCAGCTTGTTTGTGGGGCTCTGGAAGAAGGGGTCTTCCTCCTCCTCCTCTGCATTGCCCTCCTAAGAGAGACAGAAACAACTTGGGGGTCAAAAGTCCTACATAAAGAGTCTCTTTTCTTTTGGGAAAGTGTGTCGTATACATGAGGAATGCAGAGTCCGAACACCCACCTCCTCCCAATGAATGAAGAAGGATGGTGAGTATGAATAGTGAATGAATGTCTGCAGAGGAAGAGGAATGAGAAGAGGAAGCCTTCTGAGCTTGGCTTCTACCTTCTACCTTTCCCGGGATTTCTGCAGGACTTCTTGAGTCCTTCGAGAGCGAATGCAGCCTCCCGAACGGGGAAGACTCGGAGCCTCAGCCCTTGAGACTCACCTGCTGGTTGGCGCCCGAGTCCTGGCTCCTGCAGGGGAGAACTAGAAGTCCCAGACACAGCAGGATCCCCAGATGTCGCATGGCGGGTCCTGGAGAAGAAGAAGAAGGCACATGCGTTGAACTCGAACCTGGCATGCCCGCCCTAGAGCTCCTCAAAGGCCTCATACAGGGCAAGGGCGCTGGGTGCAAGGAGTAGGCACATGTACAATCTGTAGTACGGACAACGGAATTGAACTGATATGATACCCTTTACACTAACTTACTTAGCCTAACTTACTTACTCTCTTGAACCTGGCATGCCCGCCCTAGAGCTCCTCAAAGGCCTCATACGGGGCAAGGGCGTTGGGTGCAAGGAGTAGGCACGTGTACAATCTGTAGTATGGACAATGGAATTGAACTGGTATGATACCCTTTACACTAACTTACTTAGCCTAACTTACTTACTCTCTCGAACCTGGCATGCCCGCCCTAGAGCTCCGCAAAGGTCTCGTACGGGGCAAGGGGGTTGGGTGCAAGGACGTGTACAATCTGTAGTACGGACAACGGAATGGAACTGGTATGACACCCCTTACACTAACTTACTTAGCCTTACTTACTTACTCTCTCGAACCTGGCATGCCCGCCCTAGAGTTCTGCAAAGGCCTCATATGGGGCAAGGAGTAGGCACGTGTACAATCTGTAGTACGGACAATGGAATTGAACTGGTATGACACCCTTTACACTAACTTACTTAGCCCGAGGATGATGGTCCTCCAAGTGCAGTGTCTTGGCCGTGGTTCCATAGGTGACTGTGAAGCCCTATTCTTGATCCACATGTTATCCCACAGTGAGGACATCGATTTCCAAGTGGAAGGTGGTCCCTGACACGCCTACTTCCTCTTGGCACATTTCTACCTTTTATTCTCTTTGAATTCCACAGCACTGCTGGTCACAGCTGACCTCCAGCCAGAGCGCTCAAGGGCCAGGGCTTCCCAGTTCTCGGTGTCTATGGCAACTCTCCCGTCTCTTTGTGGCTTTGACTCCTGGCTGGATTTTGCAGAAGGAGGGTATTATCCCAAGCCTTGGCGCCACAAGGGCTGCTCGGCGGCATCCCTCGAAGCCTGCAATTACGGGGAGACTGCAAAAGCATCCTCCAAGCAGGCCAGAACAGAGAGATAGTCCTCAGGGGTTGTTTAGGGTGAACAAAGGGAGAAGGATGAAGGAGAACTGCCCGTCCCTACTTGGGAGTCATGTCAAGGAGGAGGAAAGGTCTTGGAGAGACAGGGTGGCGTGGGTTGGGGTGAATCACCAACCCCGCGATGTGCCAAACCGCTTTTGGTGCCGTCCCCAACAACATCTGGCTTCGATTATGAGAAGGACAAGCAGCCAAGAGGAGAAACAGGGAGGACCCGCTCCTCCAGCCAAAAGTTCTCGGGGTGTTTCCTCTTCTGCAGAGGAAGATGGGAAAGAGTCTGGAACCTGGCGGGACTCTCCGGAAAAATGCAACAAGGTCCATCCCCAGCTAAGAAGTGGAAATCCAACACCGCCCTTTCATAGAATCCTAGAGGTGGAAGAGTCCACATGGGCCATCTAGTCCAACCTCCTGCACCATCAAAGCACCCCTGACAGATGGCCATCCAGCTTCTGCTTAATAATAATCACACTCTGCTACTGAATAGGCATGCCCAGTGTGCAATGCATCTCACTACGTCAAAACAAGGACAAATGCAAGATACTCCACTTAGGCAGGAAAAAGGAAAGGCAAAGAGTGCGTGTGGAAAAGATCTTGGAGTCCTCATTGGGAGGAAGGTAAACATGAGCCAACAATGTCGTGCGTCGGCTAAAAAAGTCAATGGGATTTTGCCCTGCCTAGTGTCTAGATCCAGGGAAGTCATACTCCCCCTCAATCTATTCTGCCTTGGTCAGACCACACTTGGAATCACACTGTATCCAGTTCTGGGCACCACAACTGAAGGGAGATGTTGACCCTAAGCTGGAATGTGGGCAACTCAAAGGATCAAGAGTCTGGAGAACAAGCCCTATGAGGAGTGGCTTCAAGAGCTGGGCATGTTTAGCTTGCAGAAGAGAAGGTGGAGAGGAGACATGATGAGCACCATCACTCAAGAGGGGAGGGGAAGTCATAGAAGGGGAAGTCACACAATGGAACAATGGCTTCAAACTACAGGAAAGAAAGGAGATTCCACTTGAACATGAGGAAGAACTTCATGACTGTGAGAAAGATGTTCAGCAGTGGAACTCTCTCTCTGCCCCAGAGTGTGGTGGAGGCTCCTTCTTTGGAGGCTTTGAAACAGAGAATGTATGGCCTTCTGTTGGGGAAGCTTTTAATGTGATTTCTTGGTAGAATGGAGTTGGACTGGATGGCCCACCAGCTCTCTTCCAACTCTATGAGTCTACTATGTGGCTCTTCACAAGACTGGATGGTCTGCCAGGTCTCTTCCAACTCTAGGATTCCACTATGTGGCTCTTAATGAGACTGGATGGTCCACCAGGTCTCTTCCAACTCTTGGATTCTATGATGTGTCTCTTAATGAGACTGGATGGTCCACCAGGTCTCTTCCAAATCTAGAATTCTACTATGTGGCTCTTAATGAGACTGGATGGCCCATCAGGTCTATTCCGACTCTAGGATTCTGCTATGTGGTTCTTCATGAAACTGGATGGCCCACCAGGTCTCTTCCAACTCTAGGAGCCTATGATGTGGCTCTCAATGAGACTGGATGGCCCCCAGATCCCTTGCAACTAGAATTCTATTATGTGGCTTTCAATGAGACTGGATGGTTCACCAAGTCTCTTCCAACTCTAGGATTCCATGATATGGCTCTTCATGAGACTGGATGGCCCACCAGGTCTCCTCCAACTCTAGGAGTCTATGATGTGGCTCTTCATGAGACTGGATGGCTCGTCAGGTGTCTTTCAACTCTAGGATTCTACTATGTGGCTCTTAATAAGACTGGATGGCCCACCAGGACTCTTCCAATTCTAAGATCTATGATGTGACTCTCAATGAGACTGGATGGCCCACCAGGTGTCCTCCAACTCTAGGATTCCATGACGTGGCTCTTAACGAGACTGGATGGCCCACCAGGTCTAGGATTCCATGATGTGGCTCTTAATGAGACTGGATGGCCCAACAGGTGTCCTCCAACTCTAGGATTCCATGACGTGGCTCTTAATGAGACTGGATGGCCCACCAGGTCTCTTCTAAATCTAAAATTCTACTATGTGGTTGTTCATGAGACCGGATGGCCCACCACGTCTCTTCCAACTATAGGAGTCTATGATGTGACTCTTAACAAGACTGGATGGCCCGTCAGGTGTCCTCCAACTCTTTGATTCTACTATGTGGATCTTAATAAGACTGGATGGCCCACCAGCTCTCTTCCAATTCTAGGATTTAATGATATGACTCTCAATGAGACTGGATGGTCCACCAGGTCTCTCCCAACTCTAGAATTCTACTATGTGGTTCCTCATGAGACTGGATGGCCCACCAGGTCTCTTCCAACTCTATGATGTGGCTCTTAACGAGACTGGATGGTCCACCAGGTCTCTTCCAACTCTATGATTATATGATGTTGCTCTTAATAAGACTGAATGGCCCATCAGGTCTTTTCCAATTCTAAGATTCCATGATATGGCTCTTAATGAGACTGAATGGCCCATCAGGTGTCCTCCAACTCTCGGAATCTATGATGTGGCTCTCAATGAGAATGGACGGCTCACCAGGTCTCTTCCAACTCTAGAAATCTATGATGTGGGTCTTCATGAGACTGGATGGCCCACCAAGTCTCTTCCAACTCTAGGATTCCATGATGTGACTCTCCATGAGACTGGATGGCCCACCAGGTTTTCTCCAGCTCTAGGATTCTATGATGTGGTTCTCAATGAAACATGCCACATTATCACAGGATGTCTATGGCTGTTTTTTTCTATACATTATAACTGTAGTCTCCATTTGCTTCTGATGCAATAAATAAATAAATATACCTTTTGGGGTCCCATCCCATTCTGACTTTGGGCAAGCTTCTTACCTTGGTCGGTGGGTCGGTCTGCCTCTCGCCTGCTTCTCCTTCCTCGCCTGCGCCTGTGTGGGGAGAAGGCTGGGCCAGGGACTGTCCCGGGACTTCTAGTGGGGCCGCCTGGCTTCGGGTTACAGCTGGGCTCTGCAAGGGGGGGCTCTTAAAGCAGCCTTGGCCTGTTTCCGCCACCCACCCCTTGAGCCCTAGGCAGTCAAGGCTTCCCCACTTATGCGTGTTTCGTGTTCAAGCCAATGCTTGTTATTGTCTTATCCGTACACCCCGCTATGTTATTTATTTATCGTGCCAGAAGCAAATTGAGAATACATATGCATATCCATGCATATATACACATATACATACATGCATACAGATACATATATAATACATACACACACATATATATATACACAAATACATTGATACGTATACATGCACATACATACATATACACATACATGCATGCATACAGATACATACATACACACACATATATATACAAATACATTCATGTGTATACATACACATACATACATATACACATACATACATGCATACAGATACATATATACATATATATATACACACACAAATACATTCATGCGTATACATGCAGACCTACATATATACATACATACATGCACACAGATACATATATAAATGCATACACACACACATATATACACAAATACATTGATGCATATACATGCACATACATGTATATACACATACATGCATGCATACAGATACATACATACACACACATATAAATATATATACAAATACATTCATGCGTATACATGCACATGCATACATATACACATACATACAGGCATACAGATTCATATATACATATATATATACACACACATATATACACATATACATACATACTGCTTTGAGAACCCTTCGGGGGAGATAAAGCAGGGTATTAATAAAAATAATATACATGCACATACATACATATACACATACATGCATGCATACAGATACATATATATATATATATACACACACAAATATATTCATGCGTATACTTGCACAGACCTACATATATACATATATACATACATGCATACAGATTCAGATATACATGCATACACACACACACACACATATATATATACAAATACATTCATGCTTATTCATGCACATACATACATATACACATACATACCTGCATACAGATACATATATACATACATACATACATACACACACATATATACACATATACATACATATTGCTTTGAGAACCCTTCGGGGGAGATAAAGCAGGGTATAAATAAAAATAATATAATACATGCATACACACACAGACATATACACATTCACACATATATCCATAATCATTTTAACACACTCTGTAAAATATACATATTAAAATATACCTCCATAAAATATGACTATATTGTACTATACCATTATAATATTATTATATCATATCATATTATTAGTAGTAATATTACATAGCATTACATTATAATATTATAAATATACATGTGTATTTGTATATCTGTGTATGTATATCTGTGTATGTATGTGTGTATGCTTAATATATATATATTTCCTATGAAGTGGGTGAGGTGGTAGTCCTTTGTGATATTTTAATTTTTTTCTCAGGAGGAGGTGATGGTTTGCAGTGTCCTAATACTAATACTAGTATCTGTTTTTTGCTGGTTCCTTGCTCGCTGATGGCTGGGAGTGCTTAGCATTGCAATACAACTGTATTTGAAGCCCGTGTGGCTCTTTCCGCATGCCTTTTCATACATAAACGATCGTCAACATAGATGAAACTCTCAGTCCCTTCATTGCCCCTTCCTAAGAAAAATCTATATCCCAAAGGACGACCACCTCCCCGTTTCATAGGAAATCTGCTACAGAACAGGAGCTTTTTTGTTGAGTTTCTGGGCCAGAGAAGCAAGTGGCGGAAACAGAACGGACTGCCTCAAGGGAGCATACTTGCTCCATCCATGTTTAACATCTACACAAATGACCAACCACTGCCAGAAGGAACAGAGAGTTTCACCTACACTGACGATCGTGCCATCACCGCTCAAGAAAAGAGGAGTCCACGACATGCGAGTGTAGTGAAGAGCAAATCACAGACTATTGACTACAATGCACAATGGAGGACCTTCTCACAGCGACACCAGAGGCACTCCAAGTGGTCAATTCGCTTCTGACACGATAAATAAAAAGCGAGGTGTACAGATAAGACAATAACAATTGATTACGACGAGACATATTGTCGTAATCGTACGACGAGCCATATCGTCATAATCGATACAGGTCGAGCTTCCAACGGGACAGAATTTATTCCGAACGAGCTTCACATCCAGTACGCAAGATCCCCTTTCTTCCTCTCCCTTCCCAAATATCCCAAAGCATTTCCATGACTTCGTGGTGCAGAATCGTTCCAACCACAGGAAGACTTGTGTGGACCCTCGGTCAGAAGTTCCCTGAGCAACAGTGGTCTCCGTCCGCACCGAACGCCCCTCAGGGCTCCGTGTC